TCGCCACGAGAGTTGGATTCAGGGGGACTACGGAGAGGCCGCTTCGGCCAGGGACTCAAGCAACTCCTTCACCCCTCACATTCTTCGGCCTGAAGCAGTGGGGGACTGGGGGACTACACCGGCCTCAGCAAAACAAAAAGGAAACACTAGAAAGAACCATGAATGTGACCAAAAAGCATGGCCACACCGTCCATGCAGCACAACGGAGCTTCATCGGCCAAAGGCCCACAACGTCATTACCAACGGCCAACTGGCCACCTAAGGCAAGGGCACTTATCGTCCTCTGCCAACGGTTAACCATGATGGGCTCTTCGGCCAAGAACATGAAAGCCAATCAGTGACGCCCATAAGGAGTGCGCAAACACCCTCATCGGCCACCCAAAGGAAAGGACGACATCGTCCTCAAAGCAAGGTCCAACCTCAGTGGCCTCGTCGGCCCAAACATAAACTTCAACCATCAACGACCAGGAAAGGGAAAGCGTGCCTTCAACGGTCACCATTGAAACAAGACCTTCATCATCCCCAAACGAAGACATCAAGTAAACAACGGCCTCCCTGTCCACAACAAGGAACAGGTAACGGCCAAGGGCAACAAAGCATAGGAATCTACTCTCCTTCACTTCGTCTATGTCTCAGCTTAGAGAGTGGGGGACTCCTGATGGAGTATATGGGTCTGAGCCCCTGGACCCACATACTCGGAAGAACATAAAGCGCAAGACAACAGAGTGGCGCCCTCGTCGGCCAAGACGCCCCCGTCGGCCGAAAAGGGCCAACTCAGATTATGGTCCCGAGCCCAAGGAACCCGGGTGCCCTCTTCGGCCGTGCCCTCGTCGGCCACGCCCTTGTCGGCCACGAAGACCTCCCAGAATCGGATTTTATACTTGTTCATTTATACAGCCCATTAGTGGCTTTGTATTCGGCCCAGTAGCGGTCCAGTTGTAAATGGGCCTCCCAAGCCCAAGGCTTGGGAGCCCAACCCTAATTTTCTCTATAAATACTCCCATTGTGAGTAGTTATGGGGGTGACGAATTCATTCTATTGAAGCATATTATTGCACTTCTCTCTCTAGCTCTCACTTCTCTCTAGATATACTCTATCAGGTATGTTCTTAATCAAGTACTCCCTCCGTCCCCTTTTAAATGTCCCGGAAGAGGGTGACACGAGTTTTAAGAAAAGTAAGTTTGTGTGGTTGATATTAATAGATAAAGTAAGAATAAAGTAAGAATAAAGTAAGAATGATTTTGAGCCACACAAACTTTACCAAATAAGGTATGAGACAATTAAATAGGGACATCCCAATATGGTAAAATGAGACATTTAAAAGGGGACGGAGGGAGTATAGTTTATCCATACCAAAGTTTAGCTCAAACTTCGATCGGGAAGGTCTTCAAATGATTTTTTGAAGTTGACTGCGCCAAATTATACATAGAAAAACGCAATCAACTTCAAAAAATCATTTGAAGGCCTTACCGATTCAATTTTGAGCTGAAGTTTTTTGTGGATATACTAGACTTGATCAAGAACACACCATAAAAATTTCATAAAAAAAATCGACCGGGAACCACCCCGAACGGTGGTGTTCGGATGGAGGATCAGGTCCGAACGTTCGGACCTGATCATTTGTGTGTGTGTGTGTAGGGTATGGATCAAATAAAAACCATTCATATCGTGAAAACTGCAAACCATCCACTTTTTCCACAATGTGATGCACCATTATGTTTCTGTTTTGCACTTTTTCGCATTGACAGAAAACTTTGACTTATTTATGAAAATGTCTCCGCATTTTTTTTATTTAGCATGGTTCGACTGAAGTTCAAAAAGTGCAACAGATCACCTTTAAAGTGCATCACATTCGGATAAAAGTGAACAATTTTTAGTTTTCACGTTAAGAAAGGTTTTTATTTGATCCGAAACACACACACACACACACACACATAAATAGGGGTGCATCTTTACTTTATTTGTATTGCATATTGAAGTTCAAAGTGTTGCATATTATTTGTATTGGATATTGAAGTTCAAAGTGTTGCATATTATTTGTATTGTATATTGAAGTCCACAACGTACATCTCTACATTATTTGTACTGCATATTGAAGTTCAAAGTGTTGCATATTATTGAGTTTTTAGGTTAGTATTTTAAGCATGGTTTTGTATTTGATCTCTTATCTATATATATACACACACACACACATATATATACATATATATATATACACATATATATATACATATATATATATATACATACATATATATATATACATATATATATACATATATACATATATATATATATGTGTGTGTGTGTGTGTGTGTGTGTGTATATATATATATATATATATATATATATATATATATATATATATATAGGGATTGGTTACAATACAAAGGGGTCTTCCCATGAAAAGTAAGAAATGATCTAAGCCCTTGATCACTTCAAAATGAATGGAGTGGATCAAAACTCACGTTAGAAAATACTAAACCCAAATGTGCAATACTTAATACTAATAGTGCATATACGATAAGTAAATGTGCATACTTACTTCATTAAAAATAGTTACAATTCGATTTTTATATTTCTTATTTTATTTCGAAGCGTGATGCACTTTTATTATCTTGTTTTGCACTTTTTCAACACAATGATTCACTTTTACTTTAGCGGATCCAATAAAAGTTGTGCATAATTACCATATTGCCACCGCGTTTTTGCTTTAAAATTTGATCCAATCCTTCCATTTTATCAATTTAAAGGCCTAGATTAGTTCTTATTTTTCACCCAGGGACCACTTTTTATTTGAACCAATCCCTGCATAGAGAGAGTCATTCTCCTGTCCAGCAGGTTTTGGTCCGAACGCCGTCCGAACACCGCCGTTCAAGGCGGTTCCCGGTGGTATGTTCTTCATCAAGTCTAGTTCATCCAAAAAAAAAAAATCAGCTCAAAATTCGATCGGGAAGGCCGTCAAATAATTTTTGGAAGTAAACTGCGCAAAATTATACATAAAAAAACGCAGTCAACTTCCAAAAATTATTAAACAGTCTTCCCGATCGAATTTTGAGCTGAATTTTTTGTGGGTAAACTAGACTTGATGAAGAACACATCATAAAAATTGCATAAAAAAATTCCACCGGGAGCCATCTCAAACGGCGGTGTTCGGACGGCGTCTCAGGTCCAAATGTTCGCACCTGAGAATTTTCCTATATATATATATTGCAAAAAGATTCTTAGTAAAAATACCATCTAGTTGAAAAATGAGTAAGATTATATTTCACCATTAAATCACCATGACCAACTCGATAAGATCTTTTCAACGATAAGAGCTATCTAGAATCTAGATAACCATTAAATCACCATATGGTTTTCGAACTTTGTTTCAGTAGGAAATCTTCCCGTAATATTTCGAAGCCGAAGCATGAAGACGACTTTTAGAACTCAATAAAATCTTTCCAACGAGATAGAACACATTTTCAACAGAACGAATTACACCAAGATATGATCAGATCAAATTCTACATGAGTTCAGAGGGAAATCAGAAATGTATGTGAATTTAAGGTTAATATGCACCTTTTACTTAATGCATTGTAAATGAAGTTGGAACAATAGCTATAGAAGTCAAAATGATCTAAAGTAATAATCAATCTATATGTGTTTGCTCCTAGCATGGTGAACCGGATTGGTAGTTTAATACGATGCTGAAATATTATCACAGAAGAGCTGGCCGAGAATGCGAACCGAAAACCAAAGCTCGCAGAGAACCGATCTGAGGTTTATAGTGTCCTGGACAGTGTAGGTAATGACACGATATTCCGCCTCCGTAGAGGATCTGGACAAAACATGTTGCGTTTTGGACAAACCAGTGGTAGAATGAGAGCTATCCAGACAACCAGTCCAATCAACATCAGAGCATGCCAAAATACATGGGTCGAGCAGATGACTGATTTTAATAGTAGGTGTTTGTTTGGTGATGCAAATCATGTTATGGAAAAATATAACTTGTGCTGATGAAATATCTAACTTAGGTGTATGCAAAATGTAATTTGTTGCAGATGCTCATATGTAACTCGCGCATATAAAGATATAACTCATGCACAAGAAGATGTAACTAGCGCATAAGAAGGTGTAACTCCATACACCATCAAATTAATTCCAAAAATTGTCTATAAACACGACTCACACATATGAAAAATGTAATATAATTTCACGCTTTATGAAATTTAAATCGAATAGAATAAATTTATTTTTAAAAAAACATTAAAATCATATAAAAGAGATAAGAAACATTTTTTTGCAAAGAGATAAGAAATATATTATAGAAAAAGTGTATGGTTATGAAAAACATGTTACAAAAAAGTGTATTAATGTAAAATAAATAAATCCAATAGTAATTTTAGTTGAAAAAAAAACAAAAAAAAACAGTGTCTAATTGTTAAGGCAATATACTTATTTAATGTGAATTAATAAAATTTTGCATTGAATTAGTAAAGTAAAAAAGGTAATTCAATAGGAATTTAATTATTTAAAAATAAAAATAAGTAAAATTACAATCAAATTTTTAGTATTTTAATGAAGAGGAGAAGAACCCAAAGAACCGGTGAGCGTAACTCAACTGGTAGCGAGGGAGTGTCACAAGGGTTAGATCCCGAGTTCGAATCCCGGCAACTGCGATGAGATGTTACTATGCTAAAAAATGCATAAGGCCTCTGCAAGTACCATTCTCTCGACGTACCGTTCTATGGGTGTTGGGGGCTCAGGGAAGGGTGTCATTCTTTATTGAAAAAAGAACCCAAAGAAAAAAAAATAATACTCTCTCCGTCCCGTTGGAATGTTCCCGTTTTCCTTTTTTGGATGTCCCGTTAGAAAGTTCTCATTTCTCTAAATGGAAAGTTATCCTACAACAAAACAGGGTCAACAGTGTAAAATTCCTTAATATGTGTGTAGGTCAAACCGTGAACATTTAATGGGACGGAGGGAGTAATAAGAAGAAATGACATCTACCATATACACTACTCTCCTCCCCTCATCTGTGTAACTACTCCCCCGTCAAATTCTTCGCTGCTGCTCTTCAGCCAGTCCATCAACGTCAGGTGGATTTTTTTGGTTCTAAACAACTTAGCCTTTACATATTTATTCAATTTACTTGTGCACATCAATTAATCAAATTGTTTGCGTTTTACTTGCCAAATCAATCCATTTTCTTAATTTTCTGTTCATCTTCTTCTGGACTTTCGATTCCATCTGCACTGTTTCGGTTAGCGCGCTGCGGCAAGCGCTATTTCATGTTTATATGTTTTTTGTTTTTCCTTTTTCGGCATGAGATTAGTTTAGGGGCATTGATCTCCACAAAATTGTTGACTAATTTTGTGCACTATGGTAGGGTTCAATTTGTCGACCAAAAGACATGGAAATTGATCAAGCAATCAAAGAATGCGATGATCGAAGGCTGAAGACCAAGTATAACAATTCTATTTATGTGATTAAAAGAGCTCTTGCACTATATTCGTAAGTTTCATTTCTTAAGATCTATATGGATGGATTGGCTCTTCTGTTATGTTATGTACTATACTTCTAAAAAGTATCATATACTACACCTTTTTTTGTTGTTGACAAAATATTATACTTATGATCTACACTTTCACTCAGTGACTGAGTTCAGAAATTATTATGTTCACCTATAGCTTTTGATGATATAATGTTTGCAAGTTCTTTTTTTTAACAATCTGAACAGAGTAGAAGAAGTAGCATTGAGCTTCAATGGAGGGAAGGATTCTACTGTATGTTCTTCACAAGCATGTTGTTTTAGTCAAACTCAACACATATTCTACTTATACACACACATGTACATATATATAAAATATTCTTATCATTTCCATGTAGGTTTTGTTTCACCTGCTCAGGGCGGGCTATTACTTGCATGAAAGTGAAAAGTGTCACTCTAACGGGGACATTGGTTATGGTGAAGTACAATTTCCATTACGGACAATATATTTTGAGAGCTCATCCGCCTTTCCAGAAATAAACTCATTTACCTATGAAATTGCTGAAATGTATGTGAGGTTAAGGCTATGTAGCAATTGATATTTTCCATTTCTACTGCTGTGACTAGGATGGATTTGTTGACTATCTCATAACAGATGTAATTCTCTTAACACGATCCTTTCATGTACTAACAGTTACAATTTGCGAATGGATATTATTCGACTTGACTTCAAATCTGGTTTGGAGTCTCTGCTCAAAGCTAACCCAATTAAAGCTATTTTTCTCGGTGTTCGAATTGGTGATCCTACTGCGGTACATTAATTCCTTCTAGATCTATATCTGCTCAGTTATCTTTAGTTTTTCAAGGAAAAGGATAAGATTTATCGGCAAGTTGTGTTGATATACTATGCTGCTTTCTACTGAATCTCCTTTGATTCCTTTCAGGTAGGTCAAGAGCAATTCTCTCCTAGCTCACCTGGCTGGCCATCCTTCATGAGGGTGAACCCAATTTTGGATTGGTCATATAGGTATGCTTTTATATTCCTTATATAAGCTCTCCATGCGTTTAATAGAGATGTCTGAGAAGGGTTCATGTGTATATGAGTGTTGTTTGAGCTATTAATTAAGGAATTTCATAAATGGATAGCTAACCAAAGTTTGCAAAGGAAAATATATTTTGTGAAATATAATTTGCATGTTCTTTTACATTATCTATCTTCTTGTAATGAGCTTTACAATAACACCTATCTCATCTCCATCATAGACCACATCGTCATGATCTTTTCCATCTATGTGGAAATAACCTATCACATGCGATGTTGATGAGTCTGGAATTTCATGTCATTATATTTATTTCTTAAGAGTGTGTAAGAAGGTTACGACACTGAGGACATAAGGCGTAAAACTTGACATTTTTTCATGATTTTTATCTTGTTAACTAATTTTAGAAAGAAATAATTAGCTCCATGAATTTCATGCCACAATGAATTAAGAAGCATAGAAGGCGGGTTAAACAACAAGTGGAGCCAAAGATAAAGCGTGGAGGCTCGAGGGGATCTCCATTAAAGCTTTTCTCAGAAAATGTTGGGAGAAAATGTATGGTGTATTGATAATGACACACATGCGGATAATGTGTGGTTATCAATGAAGTTGACCATTAATAAAATGGTGAAGGAGATACTTGGAAAATCTAAAAGACGTTTGTAACAAAAAAAGACACATATTGGTGGAATGTGAGGTGAACCAAGACATAAGGGATAAGGGTGCTACAAAAAGTTGGGCAAAAGTTGAAGCGATGAGAACATAGAGGAGTACAAGAAGGCTGGAAAAAAAGCAAAGAAAGCCGTTGAGGAAGCAAGAAGGAAATTGAACAAAGCAGGGTGGACGAAATGGAAGATTGCATTAGGATTTCTATGCGATCAAGGTCCTTCGACTGGACTGAAGCCTGAAGGGTAAATTTTATAAAACAACAATTAGGCCTGCATTAATGTATGACGTAGGGTGTTGGACGGTGAAGCAATGTCACATTCAAAAGATGAGTGTGAGTGTGTGACAGACATGCGTATGTTGCGTTAGATGTGTGGACATACTAGAAAAGATCACTTGAGAAATAAGATAATAAGACAAAAGGTGGGAGTAACAACTATTGAAGATAAGATGCGAGAGTCTCGATTAAGGTGGTTTGGTCATGTGCGTACAAGATCGAGTGATGCAAGAGTTGAAAGGTGGGAAGAAGAGGTGGGGAGGAAAGGAAGAGGAAGACCCAAACAGACGTGGATTAGAGGAAACATGAGTGATATGCTTCTTCAGAGAGAGCAAAGTGGAGGGTGAATATTCGCGTGGAGAATTGATATGTTGTCTCTCTTCTCTCTCTCTCTCTCTCGTTTTTTATCTTTGTATCTTCTTTATCTTTCTTGTGTTCTTATGTTATTTTTATCTTTTATCTTTCTTATGTTATTTTATCTTATATGTATCTTTATCTTTATCTTTTATCTGACCTTTTTCTATCTTACCTTGTCTTTTTATTTTTCTTTTCTTTCTTTTCTATTTGGCTTCGATATCACAAATTGATTCATACTAGCCGACCTCAAAATCTTATGGGAATAAGGTTTGGATTGTTGTTGTTGTATGAATTTCATGCCAATAACTGACTAACCCCCCACATAGTGGGGATTAAGGTGTTGATGGCAATGATGATAAGGAACTGTTCTGGAAAATAAGAAAAGTAGTTTTGTGAAATGCTCTATCTTGATTAATAACTTTGTATAACTTCTGTGTGAAACTAAGTTTGCGTCTGGCAATTGTATTAACATGAGTTCAGGTTTGTTAAAAGTTAATCATACTTTCTCTGTTCAATTATTTCTGAAATTGCACAACACATTTCATGTGTGAAAGAATTATTTATTACTATCCATGCTCCACTTGTCCTTATTGGGATAGCCTCCATATTATTGCAACCTGTTTGGATTATTTGAAAGTAATGGGATCTAAGGACGCTTTAAAGCACCTTATCCTCTCTTACAATTTGTTTTTTCCTCGGCTTATTTCAGTACTGTTTTTCCATTTCATAGTTGCTTTCAAGTGTTTTTTATTTTGATTCTTGAGAACTAATATGTGTTCATCCTGATTTGGCAGAGATGTGTGGGCGTTCCTTTTGACTTGCAAAGTTCAATATTGCAGCCTTTATGACCAAGGGTGATTTTTTTTTTCTTCCTCAGATTGGATATGGGGTATTATTGATGTTACTCACACACACATACTTATATATATTCAAAAAGAGGTAAATTTTATTGAAAGATAAAAGAGTACACGCTAGGAGGATATGCAACAGAATGCAAATTAAAACCGATAGGGATAACTAATGGCGTCATATTTTAGGATGCCTAAGAAATGATTACAATGCCTTTGAGATCAATAAAGATTAGTGTTATATCACTATATGTATTCAGCAGCCCTATTGGCTAACGGTTCAACATGAGAGAAGGTAAACTTATTGCAAATTTGCAATTGTAGTATCGCACTATCGCCTAATAAGATTGCAGTTTTTTTAAGAAATCCAGTTTATCATACATTTCACACATACTATATTTGGTAATGTTTTACTTTATTCACACTTTACCAATTCAAAACCAACTCCATAACTCTACTTTTTCTTAAAATCCCCACACCCGCACTACCCCTTCTTGTCCCAAATCCCAATCTTAGGGAGATGGAGGTGGTATATAATTTGGATCATTTGAGAAGAAGGCTTCATTTGAGAAATGAGAATTAATGTAGTGCCTTAGATATGGATCTAATGGCTTAAGTGCCAAAAATACTGAAAAAATGAAGTGAAACATGGTGGCATTTTTGTATTTATGCGATTCTTTTTGTCACCGCAAATAAGTGCAATGTGAAGAGGTAAAAGTGAATCGTGAGACAGTGAAAGTGAAAATTTCATTTTTAAGTGAATTGCACCCTACAAATATACTCCTTCCGTCCCATAAAATTCTTCCCGGTTTGATTTGGATCGGAGTTTAAGAAAGTGAGAATAAAGTGGAAATGTGTGGGTGTGGTTGAGTAAGAAAAAGATAAATGCATGTTAGCCACACAATACTTTCCAAAAAGGGAAATGAGAAGATTTTTTTTGGGTACGGAGGGAGTAAGATTTAAGATGAACCAAAAAGTAGCCCTTAGTGAAATTCTAAGGGATAAAAAAATCAAGAGAAAATAAATGAAAAATGTGGTGGCACAATTATAACCAAGTGCAACTTCTGTCACCAATGAAAACTGAAAAGTGTAAATGCTGATGCTAGAAGTGCAACCGCGCTTTGATAAAAATGCATTTTTTTTGTGTTTGCATTTTCATGTGATGACCAATTTTTACCTGAACGGCTTAACCGGACCCTATGTAGTGAAACCTTCATATATGAATACTTTATACTTCCTCCATCCCAAATTGAAATGCAATTTGTGGTGTTTAAGGTTGACTGACGATAAATTTAAATCATCAATGCAAATAATTAGATCAGTTTTAATAATTAAAATTTACATATTCGTAAATTACATTGAAAATTCTATATAGACGCAAAATCCAATTTAGTATACAATAAAAAAATTATATTCCAAATAAGTAAAAAAAGAAAAACTGTGTTCATCAAGAAAAATCGACTTTGCAAATCATTTTGGGACGGAGGTAGTATAACAACAACCAGTATTTTGTTACACCATAAAATATTTTGATCCCAACTCCCATCTGAGTAATTTGTTGTGCATGTATCTGTGGAGCTATAAAGCTATAAATGTTACTAAGATAACACCATTTTTAATCATGAATTGACTAATTGTTAGATAAAAGTCTAAAGGTGAAAAATTAAGCTTCTAGTGTCTATCTTCGCTCAAATTGAAGATCCAATAGTTAAAATTAACAATTAATGCTATAACAACAACAATAACATCCAAGCCTTAGCCCCATAAGAATTTGTTGTCAGCTAACATGAATCAGCACATGAAATCGGAGCTAAAGAGCCCCCATTCACAAATTATGAAAGGTTAGGTTAGGTCTGCTTATATGGAAGAGGTTTACTTTGTTCCGCCATATAGATTGGAATCTGAAGCGATAAGAACGAAAGGTTTGGTGCGGCCACTGCTACAACTTCGAGCACTTCAAAAGGCCTAGGCGCTACTAAAAGCCTTTTTCAGCAAGCAAAAAAAGCTCCAAACAAAATGAGAAAAAGGGTCTGGTAAATAGCAGACTATTGGCTTATATAAGCCATTGAACTTACTTGAATGACTTACATAAGAAAGATAAAAAGATATGGTAAGATAAAAAAGATAAAATAAAAAGATAAGGTAAGATATTTAAGATAATATAAAGATACAACAACTAGCAAACCTTATTCCCAAAAGATTTTGGGGTCGGCTAACATGAATCGATCCATGATACGGAGCCAAAAAGAAAAGGAAAATAAGAAAAATAAAAAGATAAAGTATGATAAAAAGAATAAGTTAAGGATAAAGATAAATACGTAGTATAAGATAAAAGAACATAAGAAAGATAAAAGATAAAAATAACATAAGCATATAGGAAAGATAAAAAAGATAAAAAGTTAAAAGAAAAAGAGATAAAAGATAAAAAAAGAGATTAAAGATATCAATCCTCCACATGAATATGCATCCTCCACTTTGTTCTCTCCAAAGTCATACTCTCATCCAGTCCAAGTAGAAGTATATCGATTTTGATTCTTCTAATCCATGTCTATTTGAGTCTTCCTCTTCATCTCCTTCCTGCCTCTTCTCCTCTCCTCTCATTTAAATGGTGCATCACTTGGTTTTCTATGCACATGACTGAACCACCACAATCAAGACTCTCACATCTTATGTTCAATTGGTGCTACTCCCACCTTTTGTATGATTGTTTCATTCCTCAAGCGGTCTTTTCTAGTATGCCCACACATCCAATGTATTATGCGTATCTTAGGCACAATTATCTTTTGAATGTGACGATGTTTCATTGTTCAACCTATACCATACAATAATGCAAACGTAATTCTTGTCATATACATCGATCACATAGAAATTCAGACACACTCTTCCATTTCATCCACTCTGTTTTGGTTCTATGGGATACATCTCCATCTATTGGCCGAAAAATGGAGGCCTTTGAATTTTTAGTTGGCCAAAGGCAGATTGTGCTCGATGGGATTGACCCGTCTGATTCGAGCAACCCTCATATGTGTGTGTATTGTGTATGTGTCTATACACACTCAAACATGCATCAAATTCGAATCACGCTTTCTTAAATCTATCATGAAATTTTGAACATTCTATTACACTTTTTATTGCAGTTATACTTCTATTGGGAGCATCCATGACACTGTACCCAACGAATTGCTCTGTGTCCACCATTCTGAAAATAATGGAGAAAATTTCAGACCTGCATATCAACTCCAAGATGGAAGGTTGGAAAGAGCTGGACGAGTGAAGAAGTATTCTTCTCCAGTATCTAAAAAGTTTCCCTCCCTTAGCAATGGTTTGGAAAGTGAAGATCTGTGCAAGAAAGTCATGCTAACCTCCTCAGTAATTGCTGTTGGTGATGAGATTTTGTAAGTCAATCTTACCATACTTAGCAAGTCAGCCCTCATATTGCATAATCATTCTCATAGATTCTTTTATATAATTTGTTTGTTCCTATACCATAACTATTGGATGTTATACCACTATTTGGCTTAATAAAGTATTGGTTTGACTTCTAAGTTTTATGTGGGTACAAGGAGTTCTCAAAGATTTCAAAGTGTCATTCTTTTCTCATTAATTTTCCTAGTTGGATGTTTATCAGGGTTAGAGAGGTTTTAAAAAGAATGATCTCTATATAGTATTAGACTATATGGTTTGCCACACTAGTAAATAGTAATATACTCCCTCTGTTTAGTTTTTGCTCCACTTTTTCCTGTGAAAGTTTTTTATTTAGTTATTTGCATCTTTCCTGTTTGGGAATTACAAATGTATCAAAAGACGCAAGTATCTTTGCGTTTTCTTCTCTTTCCCACTTTTCCTATTTCATACGTAATATTTTATTTCCTATTTTTCAACTTCTTTGTCACAACTCCTACAATATTGTTCTTAAATTTTCTGAAGGGCCTAAGAGCAAGTAAATATAAAAGGAGGGAGCATTTCTCTTTTAATGAAGGCATGCATTAAAAATCATTTGTCTTTGGTGCCTCGGAGAAATTGAATTTACAATACTATTTAAGACAGCTTACTTATTCTAAATATTTTTCTTGGCTCCATAGCTCAGATTTGGCACTGTTGAGGACAAGTTGGGCTTGTCACTATGCAGAAAGCTCCATTCAATTGGTTGGACTGTCTCTCATCTTTCTGTAACTCGAAATGATGTAAGTAGGTTGTATGAGTATCCTGTAACATTTTTTTTGTTGGTTATACTACCTCCGTCCAAAGAAAATTTTTCCACTTTGAATTGACACGCTTATTATTAAAGTGAAATTGTATGATTGTGGTTCGTGTATAAAAAGGAGGAAGAATGTTAACAGACAAACCATTCCTTAAAAGTTAAAAGGTAACAAGAATAAAATTATACTTGTGGCTGATTGTGTAGAATCTTCTTTTTTTTAGATAATAAATACTTGAAATTCGGTACCTCTTATTAGTTTTGGTTCTTGACTAATTTTCAAGCCTATTGTTAAAAGTATTTGTCCCACACCGGAATGCTATTAAATAATAAACTCTATATAACACTTTGGGTTACTCCTCCTATCAGGTTGACCTTTTAGGATGAAGCTCCGGATCTTAACATGGTATCAAAGCTAAGTCCGATTGTGGTTAACTACTTGTTTAGCAACCATGATTAAGAGTAGCTTGTTAAGGGTTTGTTTGGTCCATTTATACACCCCGATATTATCCAGCCCGAACCTGAGGGGGCGTGTTAAAAGTATTTGTCCCACACCGGAATGCTATACAACAATAAAATACAATATAAGGCTTTAAACTTCTCCTCCTATGACCTATCAGGTTGACTTTTTAGGATGGAATCCCAGATCTTAACACCTATGTTGCACATCCGTTAATAATGTACAAGAGTCAAGTTAAAACATTTAGCGTTACATTTAACTTCATAATCTTTTGAAAAAAGAATCACCATTTGGTATAATGGCTAGTATATTTTTTCATATATGGAACAACTAATATTTTATTTTCCTAGACATTAAATATACCTATCTACTCAAACCTATTTTCCATTTTTCTAAACACGGAACACAGAATATGACTTTAAATCTCGAATTAAGTAATTAACTTATCTTTAAATAGTGACATAGTGACATGACACGCTCAAGTGACACACTTTTTACTCCCTTCTCCTTCATAAACTTCTTCCTCTATATATATGTGTGTATTGTTGAATTTTTTCATTCTAAATGCAGGTAGATTCTGTTGCTGAGGAAGTGGAGAGGCGAAATTCTACAAATGACATGGTCCCTTTATATTTTCTTCTCTTATTATATTCGGGTTGTTGTTTCAGGTTATTTTGTTGTGATAGGAACCAGGCAGATTAGTATAATAATAATATAATTATATTAAATAATTGTGATAGTGTATAAGAGGGTTCCGGGCCAGGTACTAGTTAGCTTTGGCCGGCCCATAAGGAATAGGGAAAAGAATATAAGTAGGAGATGGGAATAGAATAAAGGTAGGCAGAAATTGGGTAGTTGGTTGGGAGAGGGGGACGCGCTCGAATCAGTCCTGTCACTTTTCTGTTTTCCCTGATTTTCTGCCATTGTTATTCTCAGAAGTTCAGCATTAATATACTGTTTTACTGTTATTTTGAGGGAGTCCTATCATTGCACAATCAACAATCAAATCAACTTCTGAAAAAACAGCGTCAGAGGTGAGGACAGTTCGCCTATGTTAGAATTCTGCAAGCCAGGTTTCATCATCGTCGCTTGACGATTCTTCCAGTCCTCATTTCTCCTCACTCGCCTTATCCCACAGTTTGCCGTCGCTTCTCGTTCCACACCTATCGTCATCGCAAGAGGCTTCTACCAGTTCGCAGATGGCCTCTCAAGCTGCATCTCACAGTGCGCTAACTTCATCACCAGCGGATTCTCACACTTCGCAAGCTTCACTGTTCCGTTTGAAGTCCATTAATAAGCGGCGACCTCCCTCTGAAGATACGTTCGTCGATGGTGACGAAAGACAAGAGGAGAAATTTTCTGTGGTGACTCAACCCTGGACTGTCTTGGAATACGAACCTGCTGATTATAAAATTGCCGGTTCAAATACTTCTACTGAATTGGAGAACCAGGTGGTTTCTGAAAACTTTATAGGTACGGAATATTCAACTGTGCATACTGGTATGAGAGGTCCGGACACTGTTGAGCTTCCGGTGGACAGCACTCAAGGTTCTGATATACGTGCAACTAGATTTGCAAAACCTGTTCAGAAGGAAATCTTTATTGTCACTGGACAAGCAAATGCATCTCAAGCTACTTCGTATATGATTTCTATAAATGGAATTAATAGCAAAGCGAGAGATGCAGACTATCCAAATTGGGACAACTCAAATTCCTCCTTTGTTGTGTATGATGGACATGGTGAATTGGTTGGGTATGGTGTGTTGGTTGTTGATCTGCTAGCTGCTGTTCATGAAGCTTCAGAAAGAACTGCGATACCTTTGCATCCAACGTAATAGCTACTACGGCATTTAGGAAGCCATTGAAGGAATGGATGGATGTGAGCAAGGAGGGTTTACAAGCAGGTCCAGTTGTGAAGGATGCTCTTAGAAGGCTTTGGTCAAAGAAGGAAATATATTGGACCACTAATTGTTGTGCTCCCGGGATGATTGATTGGAAGAAACCTAGAAATATTTGTGAACTAAGAGGAGCGCTAGCTACCCGAGTGCCTATTCTCACTCCACCCCGGGTGGGTGAAGCAACAATATCCATATTGTACAACATGGGGGTTGCACTCTCAGACGTATATGATGCTGGGGATGATGGTTTGTTACTGGCAAGCTGGCTCGGAAGTGCAAAACGCCTAGCTGCAAATCTCAACGAGATGAAACAGTATGAATGGAAGGATAGGACATGAGTGACAATGGGGTTTGAATGTGTGATACTACTGAGTACATTCAAAGCAAGTTGCAAGACTATGCTAATAAGTTTTGGAGTGGACTATGGGAGAGTTACTATTATGCAATTATAGATGGACTTGCCGGTGAGAATGACTATGACTTTGTACGGGTTGCTGCACTTGGGGATGGCCAGGTTTTAGTAAGATGAGAGTGCGGGTACTTTAAAAATTAATCCCAATAGGAATTTCTCTAGAGTTTGCACTCGGAGGGGCAGAAGGGTAAATAATTAATAAAAGGGGAATGGCCAGAGGGGTAAATAATTAATAAAAGGGGGAATGACCTAAATAAATGTGGAAGCTGAACAGGTTAATAAAAGGGGGAATGGCCAGAGGAGAATGTCCTTGCCAATGCTCCTTGCTCCTTGCTGTGGAAGAAGAGTTGATGAAGGTTCCAATCATGAAGCTCAGGATTCAGAAATCAGGGAGGTACTGGGAAGGGAGAGGTGCAAGGATGAAGCTGTTGGTCAGGGTTGTTTCCTATCACCCACCTTGGGGACAGGTGAATTTTAAAGGGGAGGTAATGATGAGAGTGCGGGTACTTTAAAAATTAATCCCAATAGGAATTTCTCTAGAGTTTGCACTCGGAGGGGCAGAAGGGTAAATAATTAATAAAAGGGGGAATGGCCAGAGGGGTAAATAATTAATAAAAGGGTGAATGACCTAAATAAATGTGGAAGCTGAACAGGTTGAGCTGGAGACAGGAAATAAAAGGATGGTCTAAATAAATGTGGAAGCTGGACAGGCTGGAGAAAGGAAATAAAAGGCAAACAGATGAGGCAGGACTCAGGAATTTGGATAGATGGTTGGGAGAGAGGGGCCCTCTCGAATGGCTTCCAGATTGTAATTTTCTTTTCTGCAAGTCATCTTTCTCGTCTCCTAATTGTTTTGAGACTTTTCATACTTGGAATTCAGATTTCCAATAATAATTCTGTTAACTTTGTGCTGGAGTTTCCAGTTCTTATCATACTGCAACTTATGGATATATACCATTTCAAACGTCACTATGCTCATCTTAGTCTTTTGCAATAAGCAAGATGAATGGGCAAAAGAGTGCTATAATTGGCTTCACAAGGTGAACTATTACTGGCAAAGTGGTATACATGTAGCAAAAAGGGGTATGGGCTGCAAGTTCTTGAAGATGTATCTGAAGGGTGCTTTATCATTGCATACGTTGGAGAGATGCTTGATGTGCTTGCGTATGAGGCACGGCCAAAGGAATATATAATGAAGGGTCAAGCAATTTTGCTTTATGACACTCAATGGTAGTGAGGTAATTGATGCATGTGCTAAAGGGGAACCACTGCTGTGATCCTAACGGCCGTACAGAAAAGTGGATGGTAAATGGAGAAGTTTGCATAAGGCTTGTTGCAGACATTGAGTTGAGTAACATCAAATCTGCATCTAGCACATTGATAGTTTCAGAAGAGAGAATCATGAAGAGTTTCAAGAAGACAAGGAAACATTTATCGATATTGAGTGCTTGAAGGCTGCCGAAAAGAATGAAACTTCACTAAACAGATCCTCTGCCGCAGAAACATCGGAAATTTTTAAGGATCAAGTACTGAATCTCCTGGTTAACAAATCAATGAGGTACTGGGAAGGGAGAGGCGCAAGGATGAAGACGATGGTCAGGGCTGTTTGCTATCACACTCCTTGAGGACAAGGTGGTTGTTTAAGGGGGGAGATATGATAGGAACCGGGCAGATTAGTATAATAATAGGATTATATTAAATAATTGTGATAGTGTATAAGAAGGTTCTGGGCCAGGTAATAGTTAGCTGTGGACCGGCCCATAAGGAATAAGGAAAAGAATATAAATAGGAGATGGGAGTAGAATAAAGGAGGCAGAAATTGGGTGGTTGCTTGGGAGAGGGGGACACTCTCGAATCAGTCCCGTTGCTTTTCTGTTTTCCCTGGTTTTCTGCCATTGTTATTCTCAGAAGTTCAGCATTGATATACTGTTTTACTGTTATTTTGAGGGAGTCCTATCATGTTATCCCAACCTCATTTCGTTTTTGCTTCGTGGACAATGCAGGTGTTTATCTATGGAGGGGTTGGGCCCTTGCCTTCAGATGTTACTGTGGCAGGAGTTGCAAAAGCCTTTGGTGTCCGTTTGGTGTGCAATATTTTTTTAACATTATTTCTTGGTTATATTCTTGAAATGATCTTATCTTTTCTAGAGCTTGTATTAAATGCTATCTAGGTTCTTAGCAAATTAAGTGTTGTATTACTCTTGGTTGTAGGCCCCTGATGAAGAATTTGAAGAATATCTGAGGCATATGATTGGTGAAAAATGCACTGGGGATAAGAATGAGGTTGCATCATATGTAAATATGAAATGACTTTCATTTCTATTCAATGTTTCCGTCATGTCTACTTCAGATCTTTTGTTGAAAACTGAACTTACAAATACTATGAGCCTGTTTGTGAGGTTAAATCTGCTCAAATGGCTGAATAATCTGAATTACAGTATAACTTCTATATACGATCATCATTAGGACCCAACAATTTCTTTTGTAATTGAGAGGTTATAACTGAATAGAGGTATACACACAAAAAATCTAAATGAGGGCCTAAATATTTGATAATCATAAAGAGGTTATACTTATATATAGTTTTCCTATATTGAGGTTTTAATTTATCCCTAATGCATCAGAAATATTCTTGATGAGTGTAAAAAATAGTACGAAGTATATAAAGGATGATAGAAGTAACACATCCTAATAAGTTAGTGTTTTGGAGAAAATATGATTGATTTGGTTGATAAGGCAGACAAGAAAAAATGAGTGCTACTAAAAGGGCACTATTCTTGCAGGCATAAATATATTGACATACATTGTAATTTAGGAATACATGCTTATGGAAGAAGATATATAAAACTTATGAGATAGGCCCAGTGACATACAATTTGGTCGTGTTTAAAGCTGGTGATGTGAGAATCTTTGAGTTTGTGTAATATTTCTTTCTTTCGTATTTCCTATTCCAGATGGCACAATTACCTGAGGGTATTACAGAATTGCTGCATCATGAAGAGCTGGAGGTGCCATTGGTAAGTTGGCCTGCATCTGATGTCCTATTCAATACCATAACATCAAATTATTATGATCTTCTGATATTGATGTTTAGTACTATGTTTGTTTGGTTGCATGTAATACTTCTTTTTTGTTTTCATTCGCCCATATTGACTACTTTTTAGTACGAATGACTTGGAGAACTAGCTACATTGATTGTAAGGTTATCTTAGGTCAGAATGCTGTCACTCAACATAGGATGCTTGTGCTTGATTTTCAAGGTAAAAAGAGGAGGTGGGTCAAGGTACAAGGGGATCCAAAATAAAGTGGTGGAAGCTTGAGAGAAATCTCCAACAAAGTTTTACACACAAAATGTTTGAGGAAGATGTATGGGCTATTGATAATCACACACATGTGTATGATGTGTGGTTATCAATGGAGTCCACCATTAACAAAGTAGTGAAGGAGATACTCGGAGAATCTAAAGGATGTCTGCCACCAACAAAAAAGGACACATCTTGGTGGAATGATGAGGTGAAACAAGTAATAAGGATCAAAAGGGAATGCTATAAGAAATTGGGTAAAAGTTGGAACGACGAGAACATAGATAAGTACAAGAAGGCTAGAAAAAGAGCAAAGAAAGTTGTGAAGGAAGCCAGAGGAAAAGTGAACAAGCAATTGTATGTAAAATTGGACTCTAAGAAAGGAGAAAAAGATATTTACAGACTTGCTCGCCTTCGTGACCGTAGGACTCAAAATATCGAAAAAATTAAGTGTGTGAAGAATGTCGATCAAAGGGTACTAATGGAGGACGAGGAAATAAGAGAGAGGTGGAGGTCATACTTAGATACCTTGTTCAACGGGAATAAAATGCAAAGTATTGATGATCTTACTATACTAGAGTGTATGGTAAATCGGGACTTCGTGAGAAGGATTCAAACAGAAGTTAAAGAGACTATGAGAAAAATGGGGTGGAAGAAAGCAGTGGGCCCATATGACATACCGATCGAGACTTGGAGAAGTTTGGCAGAGAAAGGCATTGAGTAGCTAACACATTTCTTCATCATGATTTGGAGAAACAACAAAATGCCAGTTAATTGGCGGAAGAGTACTCTCATTCCCCTATTTAAAAATAAGGGTGATGTACAAGAATGTGCCAACTATCGAGGAATTAAGCTTATGAGTCACACCATGAAACTGTGGGAGCGAGTGGTTGAGCAAAGACTTCGAAAAAGTGTGAAAATTTCGGAGAACCAGTTTGGTTTTATGCCAGGACGCTCAACAACTGAGGTCATTCACCTTCTTAGATAGGTTATGGAGAAGTATAGAGACACTAAAAAGGATCTGCATTTGTTGTTCATTGACTTAGAAAAGGCATATGATAGGGTACCTCGAGAAATCCTTTGGTGGGCCTTAACTAGAAAAGGCATATCACGTAAGTATATCAGTATCATCATGGATATGTATGATGCTTGTACTACAAGTGTTCGCACTAGTGTAAAGAGGATCGCAGAGTTCCCTATTACAATCGGAGTGCACTAAGGATCTGCTATGAGTCCTTTCTTATTTGCTATAGTCATGGATGAACTTACGAAGTCAATTCAAGAAGATATACTGTGGTGCATGATGTTTGTCGATATTGTATTGATTGATGAGACGCAACCGGTGTGAAAGCAAAGGTGGAAGTATGATGATAATCTATAATGCACGGAAACGTCGGGGGGAGAGTTTCCCCGTATCAGAAACGTACGCACGTTTCCAAACGTGAGAAACGGCGAAAACACGTTTCTAGGCCGTTTTTTAATTTTGGGAAAGTTGGAATCACGTTTCCCATGGAAAACAGAGTTTCGTAAATTTAGAGTATAGTAGGATTAAACCTCTCGTCTTCTTCTGCACTTCGTCTGCTTTAGCATCGTGGTGAGCAGGTCATCATCTTCAGTAATTTACGGTAACTCCCAAACTCTTAAATTGTTTCCCTTCTTCTGCGAACTGGTCTATAGCTTTACCTTTGCTCTTCTCTGTTTCTCGGTCGGTATTAGAACACAGCTGTATAGTACTCCGTATATTGGGTAACGTAAAGGCTGAGCTTGTAAATATTTGCTTCATAAATTAGTACATAGCCCATATCCCTATATTTAATTGTAAATGTATGATAGTGGGTGTAGATTGCCAACTAAGTGCGTGTAGATTAAAAACCCGTAGCCCATAGCCCTATTATTGATGTGTTTTTTGTTTTGTTATGAACTTGTGGATTGATATTTGAATAATTTTACAGTTCAATATGGTGAGTTAATATTACTATCTATGGCTATAAAAGTATATATATATATATACACATATATAATATTTATAAAACAGCCGCTATATTTTTTATATTTACGCGTTTCCCCCACGTTTCGTTTCCTATATTTTTAGAAAATGGCATTTCCGACGTTTCTCGTTTCCCGTTTCTGTGCTACTTAGATGATAAACATTGGAGACCAAGAGTTTCAGACTGGGCCGAAGCAAGGCTGTGTATATGGAGTGCTTGTTTGGTGGAGGTAGAAGTCGTAACAACAGTGAGATTACTCTTGATGGTAAGGAGATACCGGTGTGTGATATTTTCCGTTACTTGGGCTCCATAACTCAGAAGGATGGTGAATTAGATGAAGATGTATGCCACAGAATCACAAGTGGGTGGATGAAATGGAAGAGTGCATTAGGATTTTTATGCGATCGAGGTAAGCGGCTAGACTGCAAGGTAAATATTATCGAACATCAATTAGGCTTGCATTAATGTATGGCGTGGAGTGTTGGGCGGTGAAGCAATGCCACATTCAAAAGATGAGTGTGGCAGAGATGTGTATGTTGCGTTGGATATGTGGACATTCCAGAAAAGACCGCTTGAGGAATGAGATAATCAGACAAAAGGTGTGAGTAGCACTTATAGAAGCTAAGATGCAGGAGTCTCGTTTGCTGTGGTTTGGGCATGTGCGTAGAAGACCGAGTGATGCACCTGTTAGACGACTTGAGGGGTGGAGAGAAGATGCAGAAAAGAGATGGAGGGGAAGACCCAAACAGACCTGGATTAGAGGAATCGGAACTAATATGCGTCTTCTTGGGTTGGATGAGAGTATGGTTTGGAGAGCAAAGTAGAGGATGCACATCCGTGTGGACGATTGATATCTTTTCTACCTTTCCTCTCTTCTCTTTTATCGTTTATCTTATGTATCTTTTTATATTTTAATGTTATTTTTATCTTCTAGCTTTTTTATGCTCTTTTATCTTTCTATCTTTTATCTTTTTTATATTCTTATGTTATTGTTATCTTATATTTATTTATCTTTATTTTATCCGTTTTATCTTACTTTTTTGCCCTTCTTGTGTGTCTTTTCTGTTTGGCATCGATATCATAGATCGTCTCATGTTAGCCGACCTTGAATTCTTTTGAGATTAATTAAGGCATGGAAGTTGTTGTTGTTGTAGTAGTAGTTAGAATAAAGCTTAAATATGTATTTTGCAGTTGTATCTATGCATTTGGATAAGCTTCTTAGAGTAGTATAAATAGATATTCTAGCCATTTGTTTAGCTATTTCTTTGACTCATTTGGAAGATGAGAAACAATTTGTTGCTTCTTAACATTGAAACTTTTTTTGAGACTTGTTTAAGAATTAGGAAGGTAGATCTTTTGTTAGATCTCTCATGGTGAGATGATCATGAGATGATTTGTGTGTGTTTAAAGCAATACTTCCTCCGCTCTTTTTTAGTTGCAATATTTCAATTTTCACGTTTGCCAACGCACAAGTTTGACCATTAATATATTTCATTCCTTATCAGTAAAAAATAAAAAATTCAGATTTTTAAAATTTAAAATGAAAGGAATCTGAATGGAGCATACCCGTGCACAGATTTTTGGACATTTTAAATACAGCAACCCAGAATGGACATTTTAATCCGGAATTTTAAAGAGCTTTCTCTCTTTATTTCATGTATGTCTTGTCACAAAAGCTGAGCAAAATTAAGCATACCCATGTGTAAAAGATGGATAGACTTCTATGCAGTTTTGTCTTTTTATTGCATGTATGTCTTGTCGTAAAAGATGGGCAAAGTGAATGATGTTTCCTTCCGGGTAACAATTCTGGTTCTAATAATGTCAACTGATGTCATTGACTTGTGCAGATCAAGTGCCATAATGTGATCATTCTCACTGCATCAAATGTTGCTGAACTAGAGAAGCAATGGGAATGTTTAATTAAATTGACAAAATCTCAAGGACTCCTTGCGTCAGCTGAACCATTTTTTTCAAAGTGCTTTAAAACAAATCTTTTCGACGTAAGTTAGCATGAAAATCTCGTTTTACACGTATATGTTATTAATACCAATGATTGGTCTTATTGTGTGTGGTTATCCAATTTTTCCTTTTTTCTAGTTAAATAAACATACAAAATGGTTACACCATCATCCCCATTACAGACTAGTTTCATGCGGAAATGCTTTGAGTTCTCTTTAGCTGTATCATATTTACAGTAGCTGCCGGCCGATGGCTGATAAGTTAATTAGGAGCTTATAGAGCATCACATAGCCAGCAGATAGCTGCTAAATTAGTAAGGAGCTTATAGCGCCAAAGCTAGTTGGTTTTAATTTTAGATAATTGGCTGCTTAGGAATACAAAATGACATGCAACGTAAGCTCATACGGAGTATTAATTTTAGCTTAAGAAAGTGGAGCTGATGATACATGAAAAGCTCGTGAAGCTGATATGTAAAGCTACTTTAATATCTTATAAAATCAGCTCAATCTTATCAAATAAATTCTGCCAACCAAACAGAGCTTATCGAAAAGTTAGCGTGGTGTGCCAAGTAGACCCTCATAGTCTTTATAATATAAACTAAATGGCTTGGCAAGTTGTACTCTGACCAGCAAATTTTAACATACACTATAATGCAGATGGAAGTCGCTCAACCTCTATCAAAGCTGTGTCTTCAATTCCCAGACATTTATATTGGTAAGGGTGTTTTTACATCGTCAAATGAAAAGTGTATGCTCTATATAATCTCTATGAAAAACAATTAAAACAAAATCCATGATTTAGTTGATTCATTCTTGCATGGACAATTCAGGCGGCTATCGAGAATCAAGACAAGGCCACCTTGTGATTAGATTTGAAGGGAAGGCAAGTATTGTGTCATGTTCGATTTTGGGCCTTTTATATATAATTTCCCAAACCCCAAACCCATTTTAAACTTATGAACTTGGTTTTTTGCCACTTTGCCCCACTGATTTCCTAGACCCCCAAATGGAGTTATGCTACATGAGTACATGTTATGGTAAACTTAGCCTTGGTCTGGTTGGAGGATTTTGGAGGGGGGAGGAAAGTGAAGCAGTTAGTTGGGTACTTGGGTGTGCTTGGTTTGGTGAGTTAGAGGGGCATGAAAGTGAAGTGTAGAATCATCCAAAATCCTCACAAGTCACGTCCCCAATCTGGGAGATTTTTGGCAGAGTTATTTTTTTTTAAACTTCTCTCTTTTTGTAGCACAATTGTTCTACATTATTGTTATTAGCCTAATAAATATTTTCAAACTGAACAAAAGTTATCATGCAAATGCTATAATTTCACACATAGTTTTTCAATAATAGTTTTCAGACTCATTTGAACCAAACATAATTCGGAGTAATTGTTTAAGCACCTTCACCTCATTCCCTTCCCTATGTTCTTTCCATTCCCCTTATGAACCAAACTAGGGCTTCTAAGGCTCACTGAGCCTCCCCTCTCCCCCTTTTTTACTCCGGTCCTTCTTTGTCTTGCATTGATCATGTTCCTCCTCCACGTTTCTAAGAATTTTGAAAGGCAGCAAACAAATAAAACATGATATGATTTAAATAAGATGCAAAAAAGGCGCAGTAGGCTTTATTAGATGTTCCTCCTCCACATTCATACAAGTCATGTTCAGGGGCCTAAAAGCGTGTTTTATTAGTTTATAATTGGAATTCTAGATTAATGAGGTCTGGCACAACTGCAGGATCGAATGCGAATAGAAGCTGCTGCCCAAGAATTGTGCCAGAATTTCCGAGCAGGTGCATTCTCCAGCATAAACTGAGTCGGGGTTTTTAAAATCAGGTCTCTCCTGTCAACCGTCTCACAGCTTTCTGAAATCAGAAGGGGAGAGGGAAAATAGAGAAAACGTCAAACATGAAGATTAGTATGATACTACAGATGTAACTTCGTTGCAAACTGAAAGAGGTCAAAAATATTGTTTCCCGGCTAGAACTACTTACAGCTAATAGAATAACCTATATATGTGGTCAATCTTACCTTGAAACACATGGTGCCAAAATTATAAATATGTGCAACTAGGGTTGCAAACGAATCGAATCGAACCAAATACATGACAATATTATTCGCATTCGTATAGTTATTGAACATTTGTATTCATATTCGTTTAATATTCGAATCTTATTTATATTAGAATCTTATTTGAATTTGAAAAACATTAAAGTTAAATTTTCAAAATAATAAAAAATTGTAATACTTCCTCCGTCTCTTTTTAGTTGCAACAGTCAACATTTTACGTTTGCCAACGCACAACTTTGACCGTCATTATATTTAATTTTGTATTAGTAAAAATAAAATAAAATTCAGATTATAAAACTTAGTAATGAGACGAATTTAACAACATTTTTCAAAAATAATAATTCACATACATTAATAAATAAAATGTAGTCAAAGTAAAGTACATGAATAGTGTATATATTTCAATGTTGCAATTAATGAGATACGGAGGATAGTATATAGTGTGCCCCCTCCAAGGCTCCAACTCATTTTCATACTCCGGGTATTACATATTTCATAACCAACAAAATATGTCTACATGTCACTTCAAATTCAACATCAATATAAATAAATCAATGGAGAATTATAACTTTAAAATAAGCTATGTTGACCTGGAAAAGTAAGAACATTCAAATTAAAATATGCATTATATCTACTGGGTTTTTACATAAATTTTATGTTATTAACATCTTTACATTGAAATATATATATATATATATATATATATATATATATATATATATATATATATAAAGTGTAGTATATATCATATGAATATAAATAAATAAATAAGTAAATAAATAAATAAATAGGTAAATAAATAAATAAATAAATATTCCTATATAATTTGAATATAATTGAATTGAAGATCATAGTATTTGTATTTGTATTCGAAAACTTTTCAAATAAAAAATATATTTATATTCATATCTGTATTCCATTTATTTGAATTGGACTAAACATTTTAAATTTGAATCCCGAATTGAATCAAAATTATTCGATTCGTTCACAATCCTATGTGGAACCTAACCACAAAAGTTGATACAAAGTGTATCGTTATAATTAAGATTCTAATTGAGTGAGTCAACCTTGAGTCTGGCTTAGATCGAACCGGCTTGATAAAAAAACACCAAGTTTGAGTTTCGGTCAAGTCCAAAAATTTAGGATTTTGTGCGATCTGAGTTTGAGTTTAATCTATTCTAAAAAATGATACTTTTAAACATGTAGTTTGATTTACTTTGCGTTTAGACATATATGTGCAATCATCAATAATGTTTATACATAAAAACATTGTTTTAAAATTCTGTCTTATTATCTTTTAGATAATAGGACTCTCTTTGCCGTCTATCAGTCTATAATTTATTTAAAACTAAGAAATTAAATTCAATTAGTCATACAACCATACTTAAACCTACTTGAATGCCTAAAGCATTAAGTAATATATGAATCTCTATTTTCTAGTATATTTTTAGTAGAAGAAAAATTGAATCTTTATGCATGCAATTAGGGGTGGACTCGGGCCGGGTAAACCGGATTGGAACCGGCCCGCTACAGTAATGAACCGGCCCGAACCGGCCCGAAGGGTCCGGGCCGGGTGCTATATACCAGAACCGCCTATTTTTGGGGCGGGTTTCGGGTCTCCAGAAAACGAACCGGTCCGACTGGGCCAGGCCTGGTTCGGGCCATTTTTTTGTGTTTTTCAATTTTTTTGAGAGGTAAATGGGTTGGGTTGGGTGTTTTGGACGGGTTCGGGGGGGGGGGGGGAGTAATTAAAAAATCAAAAAACAAAAATTATGTAACCGAGCTGACCCGGACCCGATAGCTACCCGGGCCGGTTCCGGGCCTCAAGAATCCTAAAAAAAGCCCCAGGCCTGGCCCGGCCCGAGTCCATGCCTACATGCAATGGATCCATATGTATGAATCTAAACAATCAACACTAACTCATAATTGAGTAGCTTGTGAGCTTTTCGAGTCAAATTTGTGTATAGCTTGACCTGGTTTAGTTCAAGTTCAATTCCAACTTGAGTTTGAATCGAGTCGAACTAGGTTTTAGTAAGAATTGAATCGATCTCGAGTAGCTTCCGAGTCGCCTTTCTCGACTAGCTCCCCCATTTGTAAACGTAATAGGCATTTACGTACTATCTACAAATTAAGAATTTATTATTCATTTATTACCTTAATATAATTATATTATTATTAGATGTTACATAAGCAATTTAGTGTTAGTGATTATATTTTTATATGCACATAGTAGTTATTGTTTACATATTATATACTCCTTCTGTCCCTGATAATTTTGCCTTCTTCATATTTTTGTTGGACAATTTTTGCGGGTATTAATGATATTTAAATTTTGGACAATTTCTGTTTTAGTTTCATACTATTTTCTGGACATTTAAACTGCTTCATTTACAGTGTTTCATACATATTTGTTTCTATTTCAATTCTAATGGACGGTTTTAATTCGGAAAAATGTATATCGTACAGATGTACGACATACGTTATTTATTTATTTATTTATTTATTTATTTATTTATTTATTTATTTATTTATTTACATTTGGCTCGGATTACAGTACCAACCAGTTTCTTTATACGGGAGTGCATTTTTTGGAAGAAATTTTCCGAACTAACTTGGCACGGAAATAGTCTGAGCCAAACAATGCAATTTTCAGGACGCATATTTTTTGTTTATTTCGAGCCTAATTCCGAGTCAAATCTAGATCTGAGTCAAACCCATGGTTTCTTTCAAGGTACTGTTGGCACACAATATCTGTGCCCAATTCCGAGCCAACGTTTGACGAGACAATGACGAAACAGAGTATTTTTTTTGCAAGTGTTTCCAAATGGTGTAATACAGTAATTCATACTTTCTCACCCTGACTCCTAATTATTTAAAGTCAAATCATAGTTTGAACATTCCTCTCACCTCCAAAAACACAAGCTAAAAAGACACCACATCCGTATACCCAAAAATGGAATTAAATATGTGATGTTTCTATTTTTACTTTCGTAATTATTGTGATTATGGTGCCTTCATGTATTTTAATTTAAAGTTTGCTACACTTTCCTTTTTTTGGATGTATTTAAAAGTTTGTTACATTTTCTCTTTTTGGTAAGTTTTTCCTTTATTAAAAAATACTCAATTACCCTTATTTTTCCTACTTTTTATCTTCCCTTTCATACTTTTCCACATTCTCTCATACTTTTTCTATACTATTCATTACCCCTACTATTTCACCCGTAAATGTTGTGCGCAACCATATTGTAGAGAACAAAAAAATACAGAGGGAGTAATACTTTGGGGTGCGTATTGTTTTTTTAGGAATACTACGTAGACACTCACTTCATCTCATTTAAAGGTTCTCGTCCCTAATTATCCGGTCAACGTGCACTGTTCTAAATTTTTTACTTTATTTATCTAGCTTTTATCAAAGTTAAGTTATTTTTTGTCGATCATATATTATAAAACTTTTAATTTAGTTTCTTAATATGTAAATTTTATTTACTAAAATTAATCATATTAATGATATACATCAATTAACTTTATGGTCAGTCAAACATAGTAAACCGTGTGAGAATCTTTAAGTGGGACACAGGGAGTACTTAGTATTTTTATACTTTAGAATTAAGATGTTTTTACTTTCATTCCAGATCAGATCAGAACAGATCTGATTAGACTTAAACATACTTGATCAGATCAGACTAAACATAAATAGACCAAACCAGATCAGTCTTTGATAGTTATAAAATAACCAAGACTATACATTTATCGGATTAGTTTAGACCAGTCCGAACTTAAACAGACCATATCAGACAAAAAAAATTTAGTGAATTACAAACATCCTTACTAGAATTAACTGCAAAATATGAAAAAATTATAATTACAATATCTACTAAAAAGAAATTACAATATCCTTACATACATAATACAAAAATAGGGAGTATTCATAACGTACTCCGTATAAGCATTTACCTACGAAGCGCACTAAGTGAAGTGACTTTTACTCTTTTAGATATGCTACAGTGCTATTACTGTTTTACACTCTTTGGAATGGTTTGCACCATTTCTACACTTAACCGTCAAACCCCCAACGTTTGACACAAAAGTGAAAAACCGTGCCGACACGTTTGGCACGAGTTGAGTGGCTCGGATTCAAATCCGAGCCAAGCCCACTAGTCTGGAAAATCATGAAGTGAATCTGCCATAATCCGAGCCTATAACGAGTTTTTTTTTATAGTGAATTGTTGTACGTGAGTGCGTGACTACATACACAATTTCTCCTAGATTATTTATTTGTAGCTTATACATGTTCACTTACCTCTTTTTAAAAGACTTATTCACTTAGGTATTTTTTTTTTGTCTTGTAGGCGGTATTCTTACTTATTCCGCTTGCTTATTGCTTTGGACACTTAGAACAACATGTGTTTATCTGTTTAACCCAAAAAATTTCAACTCTCGTTCAGTGAACCATGTAAGCACTAAGGTCACCTCCGTGGTGTCCCATGGCTAGATAGAATAAATTTTAACATTATCTGTTAAATAGGACTAATTGGAACAGAGAAATGTTTAGTCAAGGACATTAAGAGCCCGTTTGGTAACAGTGAAATCGGCTGAATCGTCCGATTCTGCTGAAATTTATGAAGTTCTGGCTGAAGTAGCTGTATTGACTGATTTTGCTGATTTATATTTAAAATATATTTTATCAATAAAATAAAAACAAAATTATAAGAAAAAATAGCTAAAATGGTCATCTACAATAATTTCAGCCAGTACAGTTGTACAGCCAGAAAAGTAACTCCGACCTTACTTTTTCTTATTATCACACAATTCTGCGCACAAAATCAAAAATTACGTGTTTGGTTAAAAAGTTAGTTGATAAGCTTGACATGAAAACCATAGTTACCAAACGGGCTGCAAATGGCAGTAAATTAAACACATTATTACAAAATAAACCTAAATACAAGAAGAAGCAAACATTTTCTTTAATTTCTTGTGCCTCACTGTAAAGTTAACTAAAGTGTTGGTGCATAATGCCATCTACTTGTCTCCTAGTTAGACGGGTTTTGAGGCAAAAACGTAACGCAAGAGCAAAGTTTGAAGCATTATTTCATTGCAAGGAATTCAAGAGAAAAGGTATAGGCAAATCACACCGTTGGGTTGAGAATCTGAGTTGTGAAATACTATTAAAGTACTCCATTTGTATTTGACAATGGTAGGCTGTGGTCTGTGGAAAGCAGATAGAATCTGAGTACATTTTTTAAGTTTCAAAGACTTGTAACACACCTTTCCTCAAAAGCCAATCATCTTTACAACGTCCACATCTTCCTCTTCATATTCAATTCATTATGCTTTTTCTTTTTGGAGGGGGGGTGAAATAGAAGAGGAAGAAGAGATGTACATATTTGGTTGAGGTTAAAAACCCATCCAATACTAAGAAATTTGGTAGTGACTATTCTTTTCACCGTAGCCCTTTTGTTCATTTAGGGTATGTTTGAGAGTTCGGAGGGAAGGGGAGGGGAAGACTTTTGAGGTATGTTGTTGGAGGGGAAATGCAAGGGAGGGTGAAGAAGCCCTTCTTTATATTTGGGAGTCATAAATTCGGAAGAAGAGAGTTTTTGAATGAATTATAATTAAAATTACTTTGAGATATGACGAATTTAAATAATTGAACTGATATTTATTTTTAATTGAACTTAAATTACCATTTCGTTAATTATCCTTCAAAACCCTCCAAATTGGGAGAACTTAAAAATTAGTCATTTAGAGGGTTTTGGAGGGTCATGAAAGCCCTCCAAAACCATCCCCTCCAGTTTTATAAACTCCCAAACATGAAAAGGAGGGTTATAAACCCCATCAACCTCCCTCTTCCCTCCAAAACCCAACTCCCAAACACACCCTTAGGGTCTTTTAGAACTTAAAAAATTAGTGGGAAATAAATTATGGGAAAGATACTAATCCCTATTTTTGCTTATCTGTTTTATTACCTGATTTTTTTATCAAACACATAATTTTTGATCATTTTAATAAGTAAGAAACTATTTTAGATGATCATTTTAACCTTTTGTCATATATTTTTCTTTATTAATAAAAAATGTTATAAATATTTAATTTTTTCACAATTCAACCACTTCAACTAGAATTTCATCAATTTCATCAGAATCATCTAATCCAACAAATTTTAAGAAACTATAGATATCTTAAGAAACTCTAAAACATAAATCATACATAGTTTCCTTTGCATTTTTGGTGATAAACCCAAACAAGACAATAAATTTTATTAACACTTTATTTGATTTGAGTGTAAAATAAGAAAAGTAAAAATTGTATGATTGAGATTTGTGAAGAGGAATAAGGAGAACCACAAATTCATTACTTTTTGGGACAAACAAAAATGGAAAAAAGTCCAAAGGAACGGAGTGAGTATTATTATTTGTCCAAACATAACATTAATAGCGTAGAAATTCCGTTCCATTTGTGAGTAAAATTAGGGTCCTTTGGAACTTGAAAAATTAGGGAGAAGGAAAACATGGGAAAGATACAAAACATTGGCAAAAGTAAACATTGTTGATTTCTTTTATTGTAAATATATATAATGAATTTAGGAGTCCTTTAATTTTACTAATCCCTATTTTTTATTTATGTGTTTTATTAGATAAAACACATAAATACATAACTTTAGGAGCCCTTTTACTAATCCCTATTTTTGACTTATCTGTTTTATTAGCTAACCTTTATATTAAATACATAACTTCTGATCATTTAAATACGTAAAGTTGAAGTTATTTTATGGTTGAATTGATTGAATTTATCATAGAAGATCTTTGGAACTGTTTTTCTTATATTTTGTTCTTTGCTTTATCAAATAAAAATGTTTAAAACTTAATTATCCCACAATTCACCAGATTCAACTAATTCAACCGCTTCAATCATAATTTTACCAATTTCATCAGATGCTTCTAATTCAAAAAAAAATTAAGAAACTCTAGATCTGTTTATAAAACAAGTATTTTTTGTGTAATAGAAAAAGTAAAAAGTATATTCTAGTTTTTAGATTTTAAGTATTAATTTAAGTAGAAGTTGTCACTTGAAAACATTTTTTAGTTTTTTTAAGCTAAAAGCGGGAAAGCATTTTTTCTTAAGCGTTTGCAAATGGTGCTTAGGCATCCTTCTAGTAAATGAATCAAACCAGCAAACTGGTGGGCGTAGCTCAACTGGTAGCGAGGGAGTAACACAAGGATTAGGTCCTGGGTTCGAATCCCGACAACTGCGATGAGATGTTACTATGCTAAAAATATGAATAGGGCCTCTTGAAGTACGAGGACAGAGCTCTACTCTCTATCTGTCAGATTGAGATTATAATCCAATTTACATCATCTCAATGTACCGTTCAATCGGGGTTGGAAGACCCATGAGATGATGGGGCGTCATTCTTTTTTTTTAATCAACCCAGCAAAAAATCGACTGGCAATTACCAAACAAAACCTTTGGGCCGTACTACGCCCGCAAGCAATAAAAAAGGAAACAAAAAAGAGAGAAAGGATAGAAAAACGGTAAATGTGGGGGCCACTGTTGAGGTGTGGCATCCACGAAGTACGTGTCTCTTGAGATTGCCTTTTCATCCAACGGCTCACATTCGTTCACTGTCTTCTATCACCCCCACTAACTTTCCTGCAATATAATACAACAAAGGCTGGAAGAAAAATTGCAGAGCTCCGATTCCGTCACAACCGTTCTCTTTCATCTCTGTCTCCGATTTAAACTTCCGGCGGAGGTATCTTATTTCGTTAACAAGCTCGTTGACAGATCATTTTTAGTGACCTTTTTTTATGTTGCCACCAAGAATGAATGAATCAATCAATGATATTATTTGTCTCGCCATAGTGATTTCTAATTGTTGTTGTTTAATCTTTAAATATATTCTTTCAGCTCCTGTCCTCGCGATATATGCATTCTATTCCTTAATTTTGTATGGAGCAGAATAAGGAGAAATGTTTGATTGGATTGTTCCTTTTTTGCACTGTATTCTAAAAAATCTCGTTACTTTGGTTTATCATAGTGTAGAGTATTTATCAAATACTACACGACTTTTCAATTTTTGTGTGATAAAACTGATATAAATCATTAATTAAGCAACCACGCATATTTTTAAAATTTATTGTTTTTTTAACCAAATTAATTGCATATGACTTTTTGACAATTTCTAGCCAAAAAATGTTTTGAAATTTATATTGGTATTTTACTAAGAGCTTTTTGAAAGAATCTTCACATAATCCACGTTATGCAAGTACATGTTGATAATGGTAGCGGATAACCATATGTTGGAATAATTTGAACTCTGATTTTTGTTGTATCCTTTTTTCTTTTAGCATAGCTGCTTTAATTATTTATTATCCCATTTTTTCCATTTTTACAGTAGCTTGTATAAGATGGCAGATGCAGAGGATATTCAACCTCTTGTCTGCGACAATGGGACAGGAATGGTCAAGGTATTGGTCTAACTTTCTCTTCTTATTTTATATATTGGCTAAACTTAAGTTTTTATAATATACAAGTGATAGACTTTTATGTTACAGAAGTATCTTATGAAACTAGGTCTCTGTTTTCACTGGAGATAATCCTGAGTTTAGTCATTTAGCTATACATTAAGCAGAATTCATAATGAGTCCTCAATTTTATATTACACTCATTTTGGTTCTCAATTGTGATATTTGGATGTAATTTAGTTATCATGTATATTTGGATAGTGTTTTTTGTCCGATCAATATGTTCCCCAACTATGTAAATTGGATCTAATTTAGTTCTCATGTACATCTGGTTAGTGTTTTGTCTGATCAATATGGTCCCCAACTATGTAATTTGGATCCAATTTAGTCCTCAATGTATGAATATAATATTCTTATTAGAGCAAAATATGCATGAGGGCCATATTAAATCAAAATTCTAAATTGCATAGTTGAAGACCAAGTTTAGTGAAAGAGAATGTAAAGTGCCATATTGGGTAATAGGTACATAGTCAAGGCGGCAAATTGGGTATTATCTCTTTTCACACTTCAGTTATGACTAATGTGTACATGTTTCGTTTTATAGGCTGGGTTTGCTGGAGACGATGCTCCAAGAGCTGTGTTTCCTAGCATTGTTGGCCGTCCCCGTCACACGGGTGTGATGGTGGGTATGGGCCAAAAGGATGCATATGTTGGAGATGAAGCTCAGTCAAAGCGTGGAATTCTTACCCTGAAATATCCGATTGAGCATGGCATTGTTAGCAACTGGGATGATATGGAGAAAATATGGCATCATACGTTCTATAACGAGCTTCGTGTTGCCCCTGAAGAGCACCCTGTACTTCTCACAGAAGCACCCCTTAACCCTAAGGCCAATCGTGAGAAGATGACTCAGATTATGTTTGAGACTTTTAACACCCCAGCTATGTATGTTGCCATCCAAGCCGTTCTTTCACTGTACGCCAGCGGTCGTACCACTGGTAAGACTTTTTTTCACACTTATGTGTTGAGTTATATTAACACTTGATGTTTATCTATTATTAGTGTCACCAATTTTAGTCCGTGAATTATCACAGACGTTGAGTCATATGTTTTTCTTGTTGCAACTTTCTTATCAATCTTTAAAAAGTTTGAGGTCTGAACCATTTGTATTACTCCGTGTATAAACATTATTTCTAATGAATGACTCAAGGACTTAAACACTACTTTGATAAAAGTGGTGACATAGACAGTTGAGGGACCATATGAACTTTGCCCCCTTAATTGTAAGACTTAATTGTCATTTCTCTTCAAATATATATATTTATTTGGTGTTGAATTGATCCTCTATTAGGCATTGTTTTGGACTCTGGTGATGGTGTGAGCCACACAGTCCCCATCTACGAGGGCTATGCTCTTCCGCACGCTATCCTTCGTCTTGATTTGGCGGGCCGTGACCTGACAGAGCATTTGATGAAAATCCTCACAGAGCGTGGCTATACTCTCACCACCACGGCAGAACGGGAAATCGTGAGGGACATAAAAGAAAAGCTTGCTTATATAGCTCTTGACTATGAGCAGGAGATGGAAACCTCAAAGACAAGCTCTTCTGTTGAGAAGAGCTATGAGCTGCCTGACGGGCAGGTCATCACTATAGGTGCCGAGCGTTTCCGTTGTCCTGAAGTTCTTTTCCAGCCTTCGATTGTCGGAATGGAAGCGGCAGGAATTCATGAAACCACATACAACTCCATCATGAAATGCGACGTTGATATTAGGAAGGACCTTTATGGGAACATTGTGCTTAGCGGTGGTTCTACAATGTTTCCGGGCATTGCTGATAGGATGAGCAAGGAAATTACTGCATTGGCCCCCAGTAGCATGAAGATCAAGGTGGTGGCGCCACCAGAGAGGAAATACAGTGTCTGGATCGGAGGGTCCATTTTGGCCTCCCTCAGTACATTCCAACAGGTTTGCCCTCAGCCAACTCACCCACCTACGTAAGGTAGGGGCAGGGAAATATTCAGGGATTGCTTAAACCACCCTCTGAAAGAATCCAAACCTTCTCTTGAAGGGCGTTTTCATAAAATCCATAGCATGCCCTAAACTTTTCCCTGCCCCTGGCTTATTTGCCAATTGCCACCTACTACCCCAAACAGATCCTGTTAACTCTTATTCCAGGAAAAAAGTTCTAGTTGTGTTAATAACTTCTTTTTTTGATGCAGATGTGGATTGCCAAGGCAGAATATGATGAGTCTGGCCCGTCAATTGTGCATAGGAAGTGTTTTTAAATTTCCAAGGACAATGTTTCTGAGTCAGAGATTCATATGGCCACCTTATATGCTGCTATCTATGTTTTCTGTATTTCACATGCTTGATATATATCATTATATGAGACCTTTAGAAGGTAAGGAGTTGTTTTGGATTTTGAATGTTCCAATTCATTTATTTCACCTGTTATATACTTTTTCTCTTGGTAACATGCTTTCGTGGCAATGATCCATTTGTGTTGTATACATACCCTTGTGAACATGATGCAAACTTTGGGTCCGTTTCGTAATGGTCATTCAACTTAAATGGTCGAGAAGGGCCTTCATAACATTTATTTCAGCCAAAGAAGTGAGAAGCTTCTGCTTCTGCAGGACCATCAGTAACGTATCTTGTTAACTGTATTCAGGAAAGTTACAATTAACTTCCGGTATGATGGTGAGAGATGTGAATGAATGTGCTTTTGCTTTGTAGTGAAATAAATGATGAGATGTGATCTTATTAACTTCTCTGATCAGAAACATTCCAATTTACTGCAATATTGATCACTGTTATGTTGTTAGACAGTGGAAAAGCTTTTTTTTATATCATTGGTCATTGATCATTGTTTCTTCTTTTTTACTTGCAAGGTAATCTAACTTTTGGTTTCTGCTTTTTGTATTGTTTACCTTACAAGCAAGCGCATCTGTATTTGTACTTAAGTTTATGCAAGGCATATGACAACTCCAATACTTCATATTCAAAATAAAGCTTCTTTGCAATAGTAAAGTAAAAAACGTTTTTGCGAACAAAACCCTTCATTAAAATTCATTACAGTTTGTAGATCAACATTTGGTTTTGTGTAATACAAGATTTAATGTTCAACTAGCTTTTTATTGCAAGATTTATGTAACCATGGAGGAAAACAGGGGCGGGGTGATCGGTTGACTCCCTGAATATATATTTGAGCGTGTAGAGCAATATTGTCGATGTGATTATGTCTCCCATGTCTAGTTACGATAAATAAGTAACTACAATTATCGTTTGAACTAACGTTTATCTCATCTACATGTGAATTATTCAAATCGAGTATGATTTCAAAATGATTCGACATTTCAGTGTTGTTTATGACCAATTGTTAACCCCTAATATTTATTTTAATTCTACCGATGGATGAAAGGAGTGTAATTTTATTGTTACTCTATCAAAGTCATTATTGATTCCACTTGTTACTTCGTGACTCTTTTCCTTCAGGAATGATCTGTCTTTTGGCAGTCACTCTTTGCACTTCTTCATGTTCCGTTTTCTCATAGCAAATCTTACCGCCTTACTACGAGTGTTAACATAAACTATAAGTAGAGATGATGATAAGTGGAGTGCATGATAATAAGTGGAGCATACGGTACACTTATACTTCAATATGGTGATGTATCGGTGTATTTCACACATATTTGATACCAATACTTATCGATATACATACATACTATATAAATTCATCGTATTTCACACATATTTGATACCAATACTCATCGATATACATACTATATATATTCATGTATCCATAATTTAATAAAAATAATGGACTTATTCGTAATAATGTAAAAACTTTCGATACACAACCCTTGGTGGATAAGCATGTCAGTGTGTTTAACTATTACTAGGTACTCCCTCCGTCACGTTGAAAAGTTCTCACTTTTCTTATTTGAGTGTCTCGTTTAAAGGTTCTCATTCCATTTTAGGAAATAACTTATTCTCTTTAGTTAGAGCACCTCCAATGGCTCCTTTTGAGGACTTGCTTGTAATTTTAAAGCTAATAACTTATAATTGGAGCATTGCTTTTCCTTTTGCTTGAGAAAGCTAATTAGTCAAAATGAGCTACTAGCTTTAGCAAAGAAAATTACTAAAAATAACATTATTATTAATAAATAAAGAGAGAGAAGTTATAGCTAACCATATGAGTACATTTTAATTTTGATGCAAATATTTATGTGGCTAGTCAAGCTATGAGGTAATTAGCTAACCGTTGGAGATGCTCTTACACTTTTATTCAAATTTCACTTTCATTCTCATTAAATTAAATGTCAAGTCTCACAATTTTTCCTTCCCCAATTTATCTCCATTTAATTACTTTCACTTTATATGTTTACTTTTTCTAAAAAAATTCGTTCTTCTCTTTTTTATCCAAATTACTTTATTTAACCACTTGTCTAAAAAGTAGTGTCATTTATCCGTAGGAACCTTCCAACGGAATGGAGGGAGTATTTCATAGGAGAGAATAGAATAAACAACTACTCCCTCCGTCTCAAATATTAAGAAAGAGTGGTATAACGACTCATATAACCTTACTTTATTGTACTGTTCACCCTTTTTATTTTTACTGTTCATTAAAAAGGAGGGTTATAAATGGTAATCTACTTTAATTTCTTTACCAAAAAGGGAAACATGACTATCATCGTTCTTCAAGTGCACCTTTCATGTGTAAATTAGAACCTAGTTATTCATCTCAATAGATCGATCTTCTTTTCTCATACGATTATTATGTAATTGAGTAGTATATGACGTGAGAAGTTGATGGAGATGATTTCGTAAGTATGGAAGATATAGGAGTACTTGAATTTGTCAATCTTTTACTTAGATAACGAATTAAATGTCATCTAAATTTAAATATGAGTACTTTAGGTTTTTATATAGATAAAACTTTGAAATTTTATTAGAGTTATTAGTTTATGGTATTATTTCTATTATTTATGAACCTTCGAGTTATATATATTTTCAAATTAACCCCTAAATTTTCATTATTTGCAAATATACTCTCATATATGTATCATATAATTTTCAAACTTGTATCTGTATTTTCAAATATACTCGTATTCACGTATTGATGTATCTGTATTTGTGCTAACATGGGAGTGGAGCTTCAAGTACTCGGTTATCAGTAAAATCAAACATTTCAACTACTCGCAAAGTGAAAGTGGATTTATGAATGTAATAATAGGAAAATCGATCACTAAATGTAATGATCATATTGTCATATCACGATACATATGAATGCTAATCAAACATTTCAAACTTGTCATATCACGATACATATCTTTTTTTCTAGACATATCATTACATCAATATACATACTCCCTCTATCCCGCTAACAATGAGACAAAAGGGAGTGACACACAAATTAATAAAAAGTGGTTTATGCAGTTGATATTGAATTGATAAAGCAAGAATAAAGTAAGAATGATTTAGAGCCACACAAACTTTACCAAATTTGGTATGGGACAATCTTATTGGGACGGACTGATAAGGTAAAATGGGACAATCATAGCGAGACGAAGGTAGTACTATATATATATATTTAGCATGTATCCATAATTTTAAAAATCTACTGGGCTTATTCATAATAATGTAAAACTTTCAATACACATCCCTTGGTGGCTTTGCATGATTAACTATAACTTTGTATTTCATAGGAAAGAATAGAATAAACTACTACAACCCTTCATTCTCCAAGTGCACCTTTCATATGTGTAAATTAGAACCTAGTTATTCATCTCAACAGATAGAACTTGGTTTCTCATACGATTATTATGTAAGTGAGCACCATAAAACGTGAAACGTTGATGGAGATGATTTCATAAGTATGTAAGATATAAGTGTACTTGAATTTATCAATCTTTCACTTAGATATCAAATTAAATGTTAATTAAATTTAAATATGAGTACTTTAGGTTTTGTAAAGACAAAACTTTGAAATTTTATTAGAGTTATTAGTTTATGGTATATTTGCTTTTTCAACTTGTCATATAACCTTCATGTATTATCCGTATTCGTGCTAACATGGGAGTGAAGCTACAACTACTCGGTTATTAGTAAAGTCAAACATCTCAACTACTCGCGAAGTGAAAGTGAATTTATGAATGTAATAGGAAGAAGATAAAAGGATGCATTTGGACTTTTTCACAACAAAAGGACTACTAAACTTTGAACTTCTTTATGTAATGATATGTATAGAAAATAGAACCTTCCCACTATTAATGAAATAGTTAAATGGAAAAGGCATGCCTATTGAGGAGAATCATTTGACTTCGGGGTTCCAATTGATGGGGTAATGTCTTCCATTCCCACATTGCAGAGCTATCTATCATTACGTGTATTAAGAAAATAATAAAAAATATGAATTTATGTGACCCCAAGCACATCTCTATCTATATATTATGTAAATATAAAGTTGGTGATATGACATATTATTTCTGGAATCACAGTTGTGTGAGAGAATATTTGGTAAGATTATTTGACTGCATAATAAGAGAATAAAATACGAGTCAAGATTATTTTAACATTATTAGTGAAACTAGAGTGAATTAGTGAATGCAGAACTCGCTAAATATCTGATTATTTTGACATGATGAATAATAATACAGAGGTTGCGAGATTAATTTAAAAAGAATCGGTGTCAATATTTTAAAAATGGAAATCACAAAATATGTTTATTTGAGAAGCATGCTCTAAAGACTAAAACCATGTGAAATTATGAAGTCTATTTGATCTCCCAGTCCCCACTCATGGTATCCAAATAATTAGTGTGCAACCCCTCAAGTCATTTTGTGTTTAGGGGATATAGTAGCTTTTAAAAGAAATAAATTATGACAGGATAGATTTTTATGCAAGAAAAGTGAATGGAAATGGAATGCGTTTCCCTTTCACGGCATTCTCAATCAATTGTCTGCATTCTTGCTTCTACAGTTCGGTGATATGGCTGAATTGCCTTTACGTGTGCACTTGATGAACTGTTGAAGTAACGGCTAAAAGATTAATGATAAATAAAAGAAAACAATATATCCAAGAATGGGTAAGAGTGCCGTCCTCATTCATTGCCTCATTGGAGCAACTTGTATCGAAGAAATACATTCCGCTACTTCTGTCATTCACTAAAAATCAGATTGGTTAAAGATAGTTCAACAGAATTGATAAGAAAAATTAAGTTCCCATCAAAGAGCCACAAATATTCGCTAAACAACTGGCATTTTTCTTTAACTCCTACTTTTTGTAACATTAAAACAAAGAAATGTGATTAACCGCGAGTTATTCATTCCTCCGTTTTGTAATTTAGTGACAACTCAATGGCACTTTGGCTCATAAATTTTACTTAAAAGTTATTGGTGTCAAATGCTCTGTTAGCACAGTTTCTCACCGTTACAACTATAATAAGATACAAGTGTCATTCAGAAGGAAAAAAGAAAACGAAAAGGAAAAGAACCATATTCTGAAATGTAGCAATTGTCTGTAATTGTGTTACAACACATAGTTTGGGACCCCGACCCCCCCCCCCCCCCCCCCCCCAAGCCAATAAGTCAATCTGCCTTGCAGAGCGGATGGTGTGTGATAAATCATTAAATCCTCTCTAAACTGTGAACTCCAAAAAGTTAGAAAACAGCCTTACGTGTTGATTTTCCATTGGCCGCTTCTATAACCCAATGACATGATTGCCAACTCCCATAACATATTGGGGATGCTCAAAAGGTTAACCTTCGACCCAGGAATCTCAGTCCAATTCACAGATACCTCAACAATGGGAACACCCAACCATTTGCAGATATACACTAGCTCAACATCAAAGCACCACCTGCAAAACGGTTAAAATTTGAAAAAGGAGCACTTCAATTTACAACCGTCTGATTTTATGGACATAAGAATGCATGTTTAAAAAAAGAAGTGGAAAATCCAGATTGGAATTGTCATCCATGTTAGCTGTTTTTAGTAGATGATGACAGTGGAACTAAAAATAAAACAAAAAAGCATATTAAAAGACCTAAATGTCAAGACTTGATATATGCAAGGTTGGATTTTATATTCAAGCCCAAATGTAAAGATGATGTAGTAAAAAGGAACCTTTTCAAACGGATGTTTGGGAAAAGTTTCCTGGCAGCAGCTCTGGTGAACATCTTGAACCCGCACTGAAATGAAGGCATAAACCAAAAATGCACCCAAGCACGCGTGAGGGAGTGCACAAGTCATATATGGTCCATTTGGAATCCGAAAGAAATTGGGGGATTATAAAAAAGTTGTTCAAACTCATTTCATTTATATATTTCAATTACACAAAGACTATGCAATAACAACTGTACAACTTTAATAAGCTTTTACTCAAAATATATGTAAATTTTTGAAGAGTTTTATCAAATTTGATTTTCCTTTGTCTTTCCCAACAAGGTAGATCCACACAAAGACTAATTTCCAAAGCTTTAATTCTCTATCCATTCCCTACCATTTCCCGTGATCCAAACATATCCATAGGGAGAGAGGAAGAGGTTAGAAGAAAGGTATGAAACTCTTTCTTGAGTGCTTTAAATACCTGGGTATCACGGATTCCAGGTCCAGCAGCCAAGAGAACTACTATATGGAAACCTTTCATTAAGAAATTCCGGTACCACTTCCTCTGGACAAAGTAAAAGCAGTTTCACTAGTTAGAAAACTCGAAGCAAAATAAAATAAAAAAGGACGAAGGCACACAAAAACATTTATTAATTTAAAAAGACTACTGAGAGGACTCAACCGTTGCAAGAGCCTTCTCCTCAAGATGTGCCCGAGAGCCAAATGCAGCAACAGAGACATTTGAAATTCTTAAAGTTGAATCACTAAAAGTGGAATCCCCTAAACCTTGTTCCTTTCTAACGACTGCAAGAATCTGACATGCAAATAGTTAGGTACTTTAAGGGTATATTAGGATTTAAAAAATGCTAGGGAAAGGGAGGAAATGCTAAAGGAAGTTCTTTTTATTGTGTCTGGTTTTACCTCATTAAGTGCAAAGATAAATAGTATATGAGTAATGTTAATAGCAAAAGATAAAATGAGTTTGAATAAATTTCAAAAATAGTTTAGTTGAGTCAAATTTTTTACTTTCTCCAATATTTTCTTTCTTTCAAAATTTCCTCTCTACAATCTTAACTTTTTTCTTTATGTTCCAAAACAGCCCTATGATAGGAACAACTTTGATAGACATAGTTCAGGGAATCCATATCTGGGCTTAATCAAACATAATTTATTTCAACTTAGCATTGTGTGAATTTAAATTACCAATTAATTTGGAAAGTGATATATGTTGGAACCTCGAGAGGAACGTGATTTGGCTGCATTATGGAAGCTCTCATAAATAGGGTGCACTTATCTAGCCTGCCAATAATAGTAATAATAACAATAAAAAATGTCACAAAACCTGATTCTCTAACTTCTCTAGATCATCTATTTTTGTTGCCCCATCAGCATCAAGCATCAGAAGTAGCTCACCCCGTGAGTGAAGCATTCCCTGTTTTTTTTCAGAGACCACAGTCATTAATTGAATTGTCTAACAGAAAAAATCATGTTTTAAATCATGTTCTATAACAGAACATAATTCTCAAAATTAGAAAGAAGGAAAATTACGCTGCAATATTGGACTCACTTTTCTTATGGCTTCTCCCTTTCCATGATTCTTTCCCAGCAGAATAATTCTAACATTTTCCACAGTGTGCTTTTTCACAAATTCAAAAGCTACTGTTTTTGTTCTATCAGCACTTCCATCATCAACAATAATCACCTGCACATGTTACCCATATTCCCTCTTACAACAACATCCAAGTCATATTCCCTCTTACAGGATAAAAATACAGAAGCATTGTTGTGGAAGGTAACCTTCAAGAGCCATTTCACAAAGTGAATGTAAATGAAAGCATAATATATCACATCTTATTTGTAATTATACCTCATATGTAAATGACTTGTCCTTAGCAGCTCGGCGCTGAAGATAACTGAAAATGAAATCCAAAAAATAGCAATGGTTATTTATATGATATACTGAAAGTTTAATAGGTTAAAGTCATTTTATATGATATAGTGAAAGTTTAATAGTTTAACTTTAAAGGTATAGATTCAATAATATCCAGCACTAAATAAACATATACTACGTAATTGATTGGTAAATATCAAAATACATACTGTAGCATTTCAACAAGAGCTGTAGGAAGCCTATTCTCTTCATTGTAAGCAGGAATGATCAATGACATATACTTTTGAGCAGGATCAGAGATACTCGTACAGGGGACCTGCAATTTATTAATGCCTTAAAGCACAAATGAAAAATGGTTTCTTCAATTGAAGCACTAGTTATTGTAATTTCAATCTTGTTTTGAACAAGGGAACTTTAAGATTTGTTCCATGTATATAAAGTTATATATATCCAGAGAACCAGCAGTATACGTATGTCCTCATCCTCCACAATCTATTCTTGTTCTGTACAGCATTCAGTTCACTCAACTAGTCATTAATGAAAATAAAAGGGTCCGATTGAGCAGTTGGAATGGCACAGTACTCGCATTCACTATCAGATGATTCGCTCCTCTAATCTCCTAAATGAACCGTAAGAAGGTTTTCGAACATTGACTTACAGGTGTCAACGAATTTGGATCTTCGAAGGCGGGAGGAGCTTCAATATGACTGGGAAATCGAGAATCACATAAGACGGAGAGAAAAATGAAACAAAATTCGAATACAAGATTAGGGTTAAGAATAAAAAGCGTACTCGTGATTGAATTTTCTTCTTAGAGTTTCGACCGCGATCGCAAATGAGAATCCCAATGTCACGTATAATACCAACCAGAGAAGATGTTTAAACGCAAGCCAGATTGGATCCATGTTTCTATATCGTTGAGAATTGGGTGAATTCAACCATTACAGAAGGTTTATGCGTTGAGCAGCAGCTTCCCAAAAAAATACTGTTTAAAATTCAAACAAACAAGAACAGTGCAACAAAGCCCGTCTAGCTCAGTTGGTAGAGCGCAAGGCTCTTAACCTTGTGGTCGTGGGTTCGAGCCCCACGGTGGGCGTTCTTATTTTACTCCATGTGATTTTGCATTCCATTTTCAAAAATTGTACTCCCTCCGTCTCTTATAACTTTATCATCTTTCCTTTTTTGGATATCCCAAAAACTTTGCCACTATCCCTTTTAATCAATGAATTTGTGGTTCCTATTATTTCTCTCTCATCTGCACATATTTCAACCACACAACTTTGCCGGTCAAACATGACAAAGTATTGAGGAACGGAGGGAGTAATATAAATAAAGTTCATGTCAATAGTGCTAATATGAATAATGTTTTAGCTACAAGTGAGATTAACTTGAATTTTTTAAAGAATAAGTGTTTTTAACCATGATCACATATAAATTTCTACTTTAATTATTACATAATGCGCACTTAGTATGCAATTTGTTTTGTGTCCTTTTAGTGGGCCATTGAGCTGTTTTTAGAGGGGTTTACACTCCATTTTAAAAAACTGTAACATAAATAAATTCATGTCAATAATGTTAATATGAAAATTGTCTTTAGCTACATGTGAGATTAACTTTAATTTTTAAAGGAAATAATTTTTTTAATCATGATCAATTATAAATTTCTACTTTAATTGTTACACAATGCGCGCCGAGTTTGAAATTATTAAACCAGACAAGAATGATTTTGATTTTAACATAAAAAGAAATGTTGTACTTCCTCCGTCCCAATTTACTTAGCCATCTTTGACTTTTCCAGTCAAAGATGGTAAACTTTGACCAATTATTTAAACTAATATATTTATGCAAAATTTAATAATTTTATACTTTTATGATAGTATTTTTAACAAAGAACATTTTCATATCATTTTCATATTATAAATATTTTTTCTATATAAACATATAATCGGTCAAACTTAGACATCACTGACTTGAAAAATCAAGTTTGGCTAAGTAAAATGGGACGGAGAGAGTATATGATGGTAGTCTTTCAATATTTGTATGATTTTTGTTGTTTGGTTACATTTTTCATTTTTGTTTATTATAACATGAACATGCATGAAAATATTACTCGTGCATCGCACAAGTATTATACTAATATAACAAGTATATAGTTTGCCTCATAGTAAGTGGTTGTGTGTGTATGTAGTGTATGTATAATGGTTATGAAAAACACATCAAGAAACAAATTTGTAGAGAATGTTTATGAAAAGGCCTACTGCCGCTTTGCCGACTGAGTCACCGTGATTTACTCTCCCACCATCCTATCGGGTCGGGGTGGGAAGGCCCTTGGGGTTGGGGATTCAACCTTTTGGACGTAGAAAATGTTTATGAAATTGTAAATGCACTTCAGGATATCCACTCACGTTTTCAATCTCTTGGGATTATGGAAGGTGAAAACCCCAGCTGACTCAATACTATTCCTCTTAAAATCAGAACAAAAAAACCTAGAGTCATTTGTAACAATATAATTGAATTCCTCTTCTTGACCTCCATAAAAAAATTATATTGACTCCTAATAGAATTTTATAAAAGAAGACAATTTTTTTTTTCAAAAAGGTAATTACATTCATTATATGTACAACTCACGAGTTAGTTTTTTTTGTTGAACAAAAGCACAAGTCTTTCATTGAATTACATAGTCATTTCCTAAATTGCTTACAACGCACTCCGGTATCACATTATAGCTACTGCTATGATCTGAGATTACAACATGAACTCTAGCTAATGTGTGAGCCGCACGATTCACAGATCGTTTACAAAAAGATATTCCAAAATTCCTCTTTGTTTGAAGAAAAAATGGATATCATCAATAACCAAATCTGTGTACGCTAAGCCCTCCCTTTCTGAATGCCTCTGACAATTACCTGAGCATCAGACTCAATCTCAGCCTTTTCTCATCCTTCCTTTATAGCCCCTAAAACTGCCTTACGTATGCCGATCAGTTCTGCCTCAGCCGGAGACCACTCCGCCTTACATGATGGTCCATAAGATTTAATGGACTCCCCCTGATCATTTCTTGCAATCCAACCCCAAGCTCTAGTTCCTCCTGTTTCATCCACCGCGGCATCAACATTTACTTTTATTCCTCCTGCTTTTAGACACTACCACCTTGAATTCCCGTTCCTCTCAGAGCCTCTCGGATTCGAACCGGTTAGTTGCGCCTCCCTCCACACCAGAAACATGTTGGAGCAGCAACTAATTACTCCTGCCAAACTCCACCCCTCGCCTTCCCATACTACAGAATTCCATCTATTCCAAAGTCTGCACACTAGCATCGCCACTCTGCGTCGTGCCTCCTTATCGGGTGTTGAAAGATGCTTTTGGAGCCAAGCAACCAAGGGCTCCTCCAAATTGCCTATCCCCACGCCGGCCTCCGCCAAACCTCTGCAACTCTTGGAGAGATCCGCAGCGCATGCTCTGTGGTCTCAACCTCCTGCTCATACATTTTGCACAAGTTCTGCACTGCCACTCCCCTGCGCTCCAGATTCGCCAATGATGGTTGTGAACCATCTAAGACCTGCCAAAGAAAATATTTAACCTTTAGTGGAATTTTTAAATCCCAAAAATCTTTCCAGTCGCTCCAACTGCTAGTTACCGTCCCTTGCATTAAGGTCCGATAACAACTTTTGACCGTAAAAATTCCATTATTTTCCCCTTTCCACCAAAAGCCATCCTTTTTATCTTTTTCCTTTCTTCTTCATTAAGAATTTCTGATATTGGATCCCTATTCCACCTTTTATCAGTGATATCCCTCAGAGCCGCCACATTCATATCTGCAATTCTAGCTGGCTTGGCTGACTGAATTCTCCCCACTCCCGGACCTGGTAGCCATGCATCAACCCAGACTTGAACATCCCTACCGTTCCTGACTCTTCTTTTAACATTATTTTTCAGCACAGTTTGGGCTTCATAGATACTTCGCCAAATAAAGGATGGATCGCTACCGAGTTTAGCCTTCAAAAACTCCGAATTAGGAAAATAACGAGCTTTCAATATGCGGGTTCCCTTCGGGTTAGATAGCAGCCTCCAACCTTGTTTAGCCAACATGGCAAATTAAACTCTCGTATTTTCCTGAAACCCAGTCCAACGGTTCCCTTCGGTTTACACATGAGCTCTCAGTGCCTCCAACTGATTCCTTTTTGGTCAACTTTAGTTCCTTTCCAACATTGCTTAGAATATTTAAATCATTTTACTTAACCCTATAAACTCACATTTGTGAAATAAATAAGATATGGTTATGATGCAAAATAACTTTTTACACAAAATTTGGGGTGCTTACATTAGTCATGCAAGTTTGGGGTGTTTACCTCACAACCTTCAAAAGTTTATATTTAAATTATTTCCCCTTATTTTTAAAGGTAATTTTTTGACAATTCAGCATATATTCAATAAAGGGGTGGGATCGGGATGATCCCGATTCCGATTGCCAAAATCCCGATCCCGATTCAAAATACAAGAGGTTTCCGTATCCCGTCCCGATTAAGTCGGGATCCCGAAATTAAAATCCCGATTAAGTCGGGTTCCCGATCGGGAATCCCGCTTAATCCCGACAATGATATATCAAACATGAAATTATGTAATTTCTTTAGTTAAACACTAACTTTGATATTTAGTGGTTTCAATATTATTCTTTGGTCATTAGTATACCATATTATCATCATCCACTTATAAAATTTATACTCATAATTATCATCTCAAATTCACAGTAGTACGTACTTTTAGAATAATTTTTATTTATAACTTCAATTAATTAATAGTATGATTTTTGAATAAGCTATCAAGGCTTAGTGAAACTTACTTCAAATATTATATAAAAATTCACTAAAAGAAGGATGTGTAACGTATATTATTTTAAAATTCAAAACTAAGTAGACTCTTTAAGAAACTTTGTGACCCATGAATATAATGTATATATACATATTATGATTATTTACTAAAGAAAGAAATTTTTTAAAGAGTTCATTAAAACCGCAAAAATTGTACTATTGTTGTAATTTAGATTGTCGGGATCAAGAATAGTCTCGATTTAGTTAGGATCCATAATATTCAGTTTGGGACAAATGCCGAATAATTTTAGAAGTTTGATATTGTAATATAAAAGATTAATCTATGTAAGGAATAAGTGAATAAAAAAGGGCCCAATGCTTACCAATTCACTAAGTTTAGGCCCATTAGCCTCAGTAATTTTATTAACAAAATTTTTACTAAAATTATCACTATCAGAACAGCCCTCTCCCTTAGATTAATCTAGCTAAGGGAGGCTGTTTTCAGTCTGGATAAGTACAGTGCCCCTGGTAGTGATGGTTTTGATGGATTTTTCTATCAAACTGCTTATAATATTGTCCAATATGATCTTCTTAATGCGGTTAAGGAATACTTTTGCGGTGTCCCTATTCCCAAAGCTATAGATCACACCCTTATTGCTCTTATCCCGAAAGAGCCCAATGCTTACCAATTCACTAAGTTTAGGCCCATTAGCCTCAGTAACTTTATTAACAAAATTTTTACTAAAATTATCACTATCAGAATCACCCCTCTCATTCCCAAAATTATTTCTAAAGAACAGACTGCTTTTTAAAAGGGAAAAGAGATTTCGGATAGTATTTTGGTCCTCGGGGAATTGGTTAGTCACATTGATAAAAAACGAGAGGGTACAATATCATTTTTAAATTTGACATGGTCAAAGCTTTTGATAGAATATCTTGGTCTTTTATGCTTCATGTCCTAAACAAGCTTGGTTTTCATAATACTTTTGTCCACTTAATTGCAAACAATCTTAATTCCACTTGGTTTTCTATCCTGATTAATGGTGCTCCAAATGGTTTTTTAAAGCCTTCTAGAGGGGTCAAGCATGGTGATCCTCTATCTCCTATTCTCTTTATTATTGTTACTAAGATCCTTTCTAAAAAGCTTAATCATTTCTTCACTTATGGTAATGGTATTGCTTACAAAACGTACTCTGGAATGCCTATTATCAATCATCTCTCTTTCGCTGATGACTTAATTGTGCTTTCTAATGCTGGAAAAAAAAACCCTGAATGGCATGTGCAACATTTTCAGTGAATATGAGAAATATTCTGGGCAATTGATCAGTAAAGAAAAAAGTTTTTATATTATTTCTAAACATGCTAAAAACTACAATTGTAATATTGTGCATGATACTTTCAACATCAAGCATGGATCTTTTCCTTTCACTTATCTGGGTGCTAACATACATACTGGTAGAACCCTCAACTCCCACTTTGATAATATACTGACAAAATTTGATTCTAAGCTTGCAGGTTGGAAGCACAAACTCCTATCAGTAGGTGGGAGAATGGTTTTAATTAAACATGTCCTTAGCTCCCTTCCCCTCTTTTATATGGTTGTGTCCCCTATTCCTAAATATGTTATTCAAAAAATGGAGAGAAAGCTCTCTGATTTTCTCTGGGATAAAAGCCCTGACCATAACAAACGTATTTGGCGTAGCTGGACTAATATCTGCCTCCCTTTTGACGAAAACGGGCTCGGCTTTAAAAGTCTCAGCCACATTCAGAGCACCTTTTTCCTAAAACTAAAGTGGAAGCTAAGTACTGAGACAGGTCTTTGGTCCTGCTGGGTAAATTCCCTAAAGGATGAATCCCTTTCTATCATGAGTAAACCCCTCAATTCGGTTACCACTTACTTTGATGATAATTGCTGCACTCAGGTGAACAAAGGGGACAGTTCCTTTTGGTACTCCAATTGGTGTGAGCTTGGCCCCCTTTATCAATTTCAGGAGGACATCCCTACAAACCTCAATACTATGACCATTCGGGAGGCTATGCCTGAAAAAGCTTTGACCCAGACGGTTGTCAACAAACTGTCCAGTTTTGTCATTGACAAAACTCATGGGATGAACCTCCGATTTTGTGATGCGAATGATAAGATTATTTGGAAACCTAACAGTAACGACAAATTCAATTTTAGTAGCGCCTATGATGCGATTAGACCAAAAGTGAGTACTAATCATTCTGTCAAGTATGTCTGGAATAACCGTACGCCTAAGAAAATTTCCTTCTTTTTGTGGAGGCTCCAAAACAATATTCTCCCTTTTCCTGATAACCTAAATAACATGGGTATTCATGGTCCTTTTAAATGCCCCTTCTGCCATAATCATGATACATAAATCACTTTTTCTTTAAGTGTAATTTCAACAAAGGTGTTTGGGAATTTTTTGAAAATGCTTTTGATTTTCATCACCCTCATAATGGGAATTTCAAAAATTACTTAAACAGTTGGTATAATGATTTTCATGGCTCTATCAAAGATTTTAACCATGTTATTCCTAACAACATCACCTGGCAGATTTGGAAGTACAAGAATAATTACCTTTATGATGACAGACTTGGTCGTATTCCTGAGGCAATCGATGCTATTAAAAGTGATATTTTTGCTTTATCTTGTGCCAAGCCCTACACCATAACTGGCCCTAATCCTTTGTTTATTATCCGCACCAAAGCTCCCAAAAATATTAGGAGTCCGGTACTCAATTTTTGGGTCAATCCTCCTCCCAATTCGAGCAAAATTAACCTTGCCTACAGGCCTATCACCAACACTTTAAGTCGTACTGTTGCTCTAATTCGAAACCATGAGGGAAACTACATTGCCCACCACACTCAAATTGACAGGAATGTGAGCGGTAATGTAGCCTTATATGATGTCATTATTAATATTATTCCTCATTTGCAGAAATTAAATCTTACAAATGTGGTTTTTGAGGTGTAAAACCAAGATGTGTATGATGGAATCACTGGGCAAAATCTTCAACATTGGAAACATTGATCACGCATCAGTATCATAAAAGCTAAACTGAGGAATCTCAATTGGACCATAACCACAGTCAAACCTCAGATAAACAGGGCGGCTGAGTACTTGGCATATCACAGCACCTTGATTAAAACCAGAACTCATCATTTTAATCAATTTGTTGGCATTTTAAAAATTTGATGCAATTAGCTATTCTTATGTTGCTTAACTCTGAGTAGGCTTTGGTATAGTCCTCCTACTTTTTGTATTTATTTTTATTCAATAAATAAATGAGGTGTTTCCTGGAAAAAAAAGTAAATAAAAAAGATATTTATATATTCATTTTTTGTAAATGTATATTCATTTTTATATATATTCATATATAATTATATTTATGTATATATATAGTGGGTCGGGATCGGGAATATCGGGAGTTGGGAAAAAATTCTCACCCCTAAATTTCAATCAACTCAGTTGTTTCAGCCCAATTTGTGTAAATTTAAGCCGATCAGCTAATTTGAATGTTATGAGACAAGCTATCAATCTCTTGGTCAAAAAGAGATTAGCAAATAACAAGCTTAATTATATCTCCGATTGTGTAATCAAGAAGAGAACAGGTGGCGGTAGAAGACCGTTCTTTAAAAATTAAAAAAATATATGGGGGAAAGTCAACGACACCTTTTGGGCTTTGGGGTTTTAGACTCTAAACCAGTGGAAAGCTTCTTATGAAGCCAAACCAAACAAGTAAAACATTGAATTCAGCAAAAATGGACATTTCTTTTCACATCTCTGCGTCTTAATCTTGGTTCAGTTCTGGGTTGGCTTTTTTTCAAGATAAAAAGAAATCATCACAGAATCATTCAAGAAATACTGCAATTATCCTAAGGTTGTTCTAATTCATGGGAATGGTGGGTTCTTGCTTCAGTGCCCGAATTAAGGCAGAGAGCTCTCCCTGTGCTGGTAACATTTTGATCTTCATATTATTATTATTTATTTATTTATTATTATTATTATTAATGATTTTCCAGTGGATATTATGTTTGATCCCCCTCAAGTCTCAAATAGTGAAGTGAATTTTAAGTTGGTTTGTCGAAGGAGAAATATTGCTTCTTTTTGGCTTCAGAGTTCAGGCGATATCAATTTAGAAGAGTAGCGGGTTTTAGGTTCCATTAAATTTAACGAAAGATCATTTCTTGGAAAAATGTTTTTCCAAAATCTTATTTAGTTTTCCAATATTTTGGTTGGTTGTTTACATTTCTTCAGAAAACGGCTTAGTTTCATGCAATCAAAGTAATCAAACGGAGCCGTAGATCAGAGTGCAATAAAACAAAAAAAAAAAAAAAAAAAAGGATGACACCCTCAACCTCGATAGAACGGTAAGTTGGTAGGATATAAATTGGACTATAATCCCAATCTGTCCTCGTACTTGCAAAGGCCCTATGCATTTTTAGTTTAATAACCCTCATCGCAGTTGACGGGATTCGAACCCTTTGTGACACTCTCTTGCTACCAGGTCAATAAAACCTTATTAGACACGTGCGTTCGGATCGAGTCCTCGTTTCATCTCTCATGTCCCTCCCACCCAATAATTCAATATACTCCTTATGATAATACACACGCCTGGGATAAAAACACAACAAATTACGTTTCATTATTTTCTTTTATTTTGAGAACTTCTTATTGTTTATTCTTTTAATAGGAGTTTAAGAATAAGACATATTTAGTCTTACTTTAAAATATTTTGAACAATTCCTTATAAAATTATCTCCTTATCCTGTAAAGAAAATTGAAACCAATTTGAATAAAAATGTAATTAAAATTACTATAAATAATGGTCATTATATTATGGTCACTAAAATTTTACTTGGACTGAAATTTTCTTTTCTGGTCTTGTCTGAACTGGTCTGGTAAATGTATGTATGTCTGCTCTCTGTGTATTTTTTAATTATCCAAGTCATGTCTGGTCTGATCTGGTCTCGGACCGAAAACAGTCCAAGTAAAAACATCCTTATTTTTTGTTTATTAAAAGTCACATTTCATCCACAATATTGATTTTTATCATTCTGTTTTTGGATGTCCTAAAACTTTGTTTATATGTTCTTTTAAGGAATATTTTGTGTTCATGGTATTGGAAAGAAAAATTTGATACAAGGGAATAATAACCGTTTACACTTGAGGCCCAATGAAAAGTTTTAAGAAATCTTAGTAAGTTTTATCACAGGTGCTTTCAAAAATTTAATCACCATTTTCATTCTCTACAATCATGTTTGGACACATTGAAGATAGTTTATAGTTCGTTTCCTTAATTTTATCTAAACCAAGAAAATTACACAAGAGGACTTTGTTTTCCTTTTAAGTCAAAGGTCAAAGGATGTGTTCATTCACTAAACATATAAAACTTTGTTGTGATCACAGCAAAAGAGTTGAGTCCTGGGAATGGGAATTACTTTCTCGGGTCATCAGCACTTGCAACTTTTACTTATAATGACCTACGAGCAGCCACCAGAAATTTTCGACCCGATAGTATGCTGGGAGAAGGAGGCTTCGGTTCTGTCTTTAAGGGATGGGTTGAGAAGAATACATTCAAGGCAGCCAAGCCTGGGTCTGGTTTGGTAATTGCAGTTAAGAGACTTAATCAAGAAAGCTTTCAAGGTCACAGGGAATGGCTGGTGAGTAATTTAGTTTCCATGCGACCCCAAAATCTTTTGGGAATAAAGTAAGGCTTGAATGTTGTTGTTGTTGTTGTATGCATGCTAAGCATCCATTCATGCTTTAATCTCGAGTTTAAGGGGACGCACTAAACACAGCTGTAAAATCTATATAATTTGATCTGATGTAATCTGCTTTCCATTAATACAATCAAAACAACTTATGATTCAATAATGCAACTTTTAAAATATTATACCCTGCCTATTCATACACTAAAATTTGAGCCTAGTTAACTAGTTAGTCTAAATGAGGGGCTTTATAAATTATAAACACATGTGTCTCATTTTAATATTTTGGTGTGGAAGGCTTCACAAATTTCTGCTGCTGAAAGTCAACCATACCATTCCTGCTATGGCAGATTACGACAAAGCAAAGAAAACAACAAAGTAAAACAAGACAAACGACATGCATGGTTCCAGGGCCGGCCCTGCTGGTGTGCAGGGTGTCCAACCGCACATGGCCCAAAAAATTGGAAGGGCCCAATTTTTTTTGTAGTAGTATACTCTACTACCTCCGTCCCACTATGATTGTCCCATTTTACCTTATCGGTTCGTCTCATTAATATTGTCTCATACCAAACTTGGTAAAGTTTGTGTGGCTCTAAATCATTCTTACTTTTTTCTTACTTTACCAATTCAATATCAACCACATAAACAACTTTTTATTAATTTGTGTGTCACTCCCTTTTGTCCCAATGTTAGCGGGACGGAGGGAGTATTATTACTTAGGTGGACTAGGGCAAGGCTTTGAAGCAAGCCTGGTTCATCACTTCGCGTATTCCTCATATGCAAAGGAGGAGCGTGTATATAGGCACGAAGGAGTGATAAATTCTCCGTTTCCACCGGTGTGGGAATCTTAAGCTTTAGAAACAAAAAAGAAAAGAAGCGAGGCATGCGGGATTTAAACCCAGGTGAAAATAAAAGCATGCACGCTGATTTCTAAACATCAACCGCCGGACCAAATCAACTAATTCTTGAAATACGGACGTACAAGTTTTATATTACCTATTTGTTCTACAAAATAAATAATTAAAATACCTCTTAATAAAAATCGGTTCGGTTCGGTTTGAACCGATTTTATAACTCAAAAAACCTTCATTAAACCGATTTATGTTCGAGTCCCGACATTCGGGTCCCGTTTGAGTCGGTGCGGTTTCGGTTCGGTTTTTTTAACTTCTGTTGAAACTTTGAAAAGAAGGCCCAGTTATTTTTTTTGCACATGACATTCATTTCCTCAGGACCGGCCCTGCATGGTTCACCAACGTAATGTTGATCACATATTCTGATATTCACATCCAAAGGCAGAAAGAGATCATTTTGTTAAGAGGTTAGGTTTTCAGGTTACTCAAAGTAACTATAAGCATAATGCGGCCCAAACCACATCCACATGCCCAAACTGATCATTCTATTAGGAACTAGTCCATACTGTCGGGACCCCGTACTTCTGCATTGTGTGATTAGATTCAAAACATATTAACACTTCCAAAATCCAAATCTCTGCATGTGATGAAATAGAAGTATAGAACTGATTAATCTATTTTTTCTGTGTGAACAGACAGAGATAACTTACTTGGGGCAGTTAAGTCATCCCAATCTTGTAAAATTAATAGGTTACTGCGTGGAGGATGACCAGAGACTTTTGGTCTATGAGTTCATGCCTCGGGGTAGTTTGGAAAACCATCTATTCAGAAGTGAGTTTAGAGTTGTTACTTTAATGATTGGTTTACCCCTTTTTTAATTTCAACAACTACACACACATAATGATTGGTTTAATCTAATGGAGCAGGGAGTACGTACTTCCAACCAATAACTTGGAGTCTGAGGATGAAGGTTGCTCTTGGTGCAGCAAAGGGGCTTGCATATCTTCATGGCCCAGAAGCTAAAGTTATATATAGGGATTTCAAATCATCTAACGTCCTGCTTGACTTTGTATGCACAAAAATCTCCAAGACAATGACAATATTTTTTTCTTTTACATCTCTGTCACACAAATAAGTTGGTGAATTTGAATTCTCAGAACTACAATGCAAAACTTTCTGATTTCGGATTGGCAAAGGATGGGCCAGTTGATGGACAAAGTCATGTCTCAACTAGAGTTATGGGTACTTATGGCTATGCAGCTCCGGAGTATATTGCCACTGGTAATTATATCAATCTCCCACTCTGGTTTGTGAGGCCTATGTATTCACCTTCCTACTTCAATACTTCATACATAACAATATCCTCCCTTCATCCAGAAAGAATGGTCATGTTTATCTGTTTTAAGTAAAAGTACAATTTTGTAAATGTTGTGAATGACAACTTACACCATAAGAATTGCTTCCACCATTGTATGGAAATCCCCGTTCGTGCTTAGCTTTGTAGGAATTCCACTTAGAACTTATCATTTTACTCATGTAAACTTTTTTCCAAATAAAAAAGTTCTTGAAACATGATTCTTCATTTTTGAACATACACTAAGAACCAGTTTATAAGGTTGATTTTGGATTTAAATGACCGAATCTGTTAAAATGATGGATGAAATTTTATAAACTTTGAGTTGTTGATGTGTGGTGTTGAGATTTGAAAAAGAGAGTAGTTTTTTGAAGTGGTTGACAAGTACAGTACTCTGGAATCACTTTATTTATATATTTGAACGTATTGTTCAAGTTTGTGTTACAATTATTATTATTATTATTGTTATAGGTCACTTGTCTCCGAAGAGCGATGTATACAGTTTTGGGGTTGTACTCCTGGAAATGCTGACTGGGCGTCGTGTTTTGGACAAAAACAGACCAAATGGGGAACAAAAACTTATAGATTGGGCAACGCCATACCTTGCCAACAAGCGTAAAATTCTTAAAGTGATGGATTCTCGTATTGAAGGGCAGTACTCAACAATCACGGCACTTAGAGCAGCACTCCTTGCGGTGAGGTGCCTATCAAACAACCCCAACTTAAGGCCTGACATGGACGAGGTCGTTGATGAGCTGGCACAACTGCAAGAGTCCAGCTAAGAAGCTTCTACAACATCTTATATATATATATATATATATATATATATTGTATTCAAGAAGAGCATACACATTTTTGTATAGTTTCTTTTCTATATTGTGTGGATCAGAGGCAATAAAATGTTTGCTTTACTTTTCTTTAGTCGATACGAATGGAGGGTGCAATATAGAGGGTAAGATTCTAATAAAGACATATTTCCATGCGGGGAAGATTTGGTTCCACACTTCCACCCCACCTCACATGCACAATTGCGTGTTATATAAAAAATTAAGAACCAGTCCACAAGCAAGACATGGTAGAAAAGTTCAAGCTATACTTCTATACACACTTCACACAATGTGGACGCTACATGTTAGACATTAAATTTCAATTTACAAAAGCAACCAGAGAGAAGAGTCTGTTGTCATCTAATATATGTTCTTCCCAAAGACCACAGTCCCGTGTCTTTGACCGGAGTCTGAAATGAACAAAAAAGACAGCAGGTTAATAACATTTCCCTCCTACCTGTATGGCGGCTGTGTGTGTGTGTTTTGTGTCTATATGTTCATTGGCCATAAAAATCCACTTTTAAGCACAATGTACAACCAATTAAAGCAGTCGGTACGATGCCAATTCGACACATAGGCCTCTCCCTATTATTTATAAATATGATAAAGCCTCATCACTCACAGGTGTTTTTACAGAAGGGAAGACATTCCAAAATCTGAGAGTCTCATCTCCAGCTCCAGTCACAATTGTCTACATGGTTATTGATAATATTCTCAATCAAGACAGATTGCATAGGATTGCTATTGTAGAATGTTTTTTATGAAGGATATTCTGGAGACAGATTGCTGAAGTGTACCTGACCATCTGGGGACATAGCTAGATAAAGCACCCGCAAGCTGTGGCCAGTCAGAGTCGCCACCTATCAATCAAACCAGGTGATGCTTTCACAAAGTCAGCACAACATTAAAGGTCCCTTGGGAACTCATAAAACCCAAGGGAAACAAAATAGAAGGGAAATTTAAAAAGAAAAATGATGTGGTTGAAATTAGAAAACAATTCCAAACTAAACTAGGCAATTTATACTCTTTTTGCAAATAAATTTATATCATGTAAAGTAAGAAATGTAAATGTATGTTAAACTTGAAAAGGGTTGACTTTGTAGTTTCCGAGGTTGAACCAAATATAAACATGAAAAAACATTTTGTTGAGTTCCACACCTTCGACATTGAGGGGTACTTCCACACCATAACTTGATTTTGGGAGTATCCATGAGTGCTAACTAATTCATTAACATTTTTACTCCATGCCAGGTTGCAAACCTACAAAAAGAAACATTCAGATTAAAAGTTTGTACTCTCAACAGAGCAAGTGGCTGTTCTGATCCACTGCTTAAGGCATCTAAATTTTGTTCAAACCTGGCTTCCAGTATCAACGCTGTTAAGTTGATTGCCATTACTAGTGTTCCAGAAGCGAATGCAACGATCTGCGGTTCCTCCTCCAGATGCAAGAAGGCCGGTTTGGTGAGGAGACCAGGTGATGGCTTTCACAGCAGCAGTGTGTTCTGTTAGTCTCAGTGTTGGCTGTTGTGAATGCAGATTCCACACCAGTAGCTGATGAAAACATTCAACACTCATCAGGGTTAATCCAGAGACCTCCTCCTAAGTGCTAAATTCGAACCTTATGACTGTTTACCTGATTGTCATTGCCCCCTGACGCCAGTTCTCTGTCATCATGAGACCACTTCAGCCCACACACCTGACATTTGTTGGCCATAAGAAGGTGTTCATGTTCTGAAAAACTTTTTTGTTTTCTATATCGCCATAATCAACAGCCCACACACCTAGGCAGGGCTTGTTACAACACTTGAGTTGCCCTTTTGGGGACGTTCTAACACTTACCTCAGATTTATGACCAACGAGCCTGCTCACAAAGTCATTTGGGACACGGAGATCATGTTGAAGGATATTCCGATCTCTACTACCAGAAGATAATATGCGAGAACTCCATGCTAGAACTCCTGTTCTTGTTTGATGCCCACTAAATGTTCTAACTTTCTTGCACTGAGTTCCATCCCAGACCTGAAATACAGACAGGCATTCGGAGTAAGGGTCTGCTTGAAACTCCATAAAGGCTAGGAAAAGAGAATTGGCAGGAAATTGTACGGGACTAAGGAAGGAAATAAAATGTGAGGGCCAATAAAACATTTGTTCAAACTTCAAGCTCATTTTACACAAGCACATATATATGTCTATATCATATAAAAGCTAGGAGATCTAAACCTGTAGAAAAAGGGTTACAAATGTTACTCATATTTACACAAGCTCATTTTTTTACACTTTCTATTGCAAAACAAAACACAAGAAAATAATTTTCCATAGCATTTTTCTCCATCTCCCTAGTATTTATGAGATCCAAACACAGCCAAAATGAATTGCTAACTAGTAAACAATTGCTATGAATTGTTGAACAGAGTACAGAAATCCATCTCCCACCTGAACTTGACCGAGACTTGTCCCTATTGATATGTAAGAACCTTCCCTAGTCCACTGTACTGAACAGACACTATCACTAGGTCCCAAGTCACACAGCTTTGTCACCTGAGAGAGAGCATAAAAACAATACAGCATTTTAAGGATTCAACGGCTCAAGTAACAAACACTTTGGGTGCAAAGGGTAACACAACAAGTGCTATTTCATTAAAAAAATGTTTTCCTCACTTTACAATTTGTTGCAGTCCATAAATACACACACGTTCCCAACCCAACAGCAAGAACATTCTGAGATGACCAATCAACCAGATTAAGATAGAAATCATCTTGAAGCGCTGGTGCATCCAACACCTGCAAATATTTGATGGTGATTGACTATGAAAGTTACTCCATAGTTTGCCTTTGAAACGACCAACTTGGGCATAGTTCGAAGATGAATGCTTCGAGGTGTAATAATTTATAAAGAAGCAAATGTTTTCATTACTACTCCTACATCTGAAAATTGGGGCACAGAATAGCAAAAGGAACCATTTCTTTCAGAGGATTTAGGTCTAAGTGTCTCACAATGATGCACAAATCAAGTTTTGATGAAACCCTAAGTAGATAGCACGATATACCTGTGTAATAAGTGGGAAACTAATAGCAGAATAGATGAGATAACGCATATTGATACCTTATGGGGAGTTTTGGGGACCTTCCTGGGAGGCTTAGGAGGAGTTGTAACCTCGTCGGAGAGGCCATTGTTGATCCCCAAAACTGAAGGCGAGTAGGGAGAGTTAGGGCCGGAATGCTCAGTCTTGAATCTTAGAATATTTTTGCTTGGACTCATGGGCGACCCCTTGTTACCTGCAGGAGAAGAAAAGGAACCAAAGTCAGCACCGAAAAGCTCAGATCTCAATAACCTCGTGTAGGCCTCGTTCCCTCCTCCCTCCTTCACCGGCGATGCTTTGTCTACCAGACCAAACGCGTGAAGCCTCGACGAGGATCTACACGGGATGAACCTGTCGCTACAGCTCGCAGATTTCGACGACGGGGAGGACGACAGGTTCGACAGAGTCCTCGGGGACATCGACATCGGAGAGGGTAAATTCGTTTTGGCCCGAGAAGGCGAGCTCCTTGGTGTAGATAATGCATCGAGCCGAAGAGATGTTTCGTTCATCGAAGATGGGAGATTAATCCCGCTCTTCCTCCTTGGTGGCGTTGAATCCATTTTCTTTCCTTTTCTTACTACAAGAAAAACTGAAACTTGAGCTTTGGGAGCGAAATGGAATAGCAGTGAATGATTCTCTCTGCGAGAGAAGAAGAGAGGCGGAGGAGGGGAAGGGACTGTAGACGACAGAGCAGAGCGGTAACGGCTAGCTTTGCAGGAATTAATAAATTAATTAATTAAATAAAGAAGAGAAGAGAAGAATAATGCTTCGGAGTTCGGATTAATGGTATGTAAAGGAAAAAGCCCCAACAAGCTATAACGGTCATATTCCCGACATAGGAATTACATGTACAAGGTGACGAGCAATTGGAAAATTTGAGAATAATCCTTGGAAGTAGTACCCCTGACTCCATCCCTTTTTTAATTACAAATATTTGACAACTCCCTCTATCTTGAATTGAATTGCAAATTTTGATTATCATCAGGATTAAGAAATGACAATAAATGATGCTTATTTTTTACATTTTTATCCATCTTTCTAAAAGTATATGCCTTTAAGTTAATGGAGAAAAAGTAAAAGTAAGGGTAAATTTGTCAATTTATTCTTATTTACATACCTAAAATAGAAAGTGAAAAACCATTTTGGGACAACCAAAAAAAGAAATTTTGCAAATCAAATTGGGACGGATGGAGTATTTAACAATTTTAATCGGTACTTGATATATTACGTAATATATTCAAATTTATAAATTTTATACTTTTATATAGATATTTTTAACAAACAACATTCAAATATTACAAGTATTATATATATATAACAAATAAGAGTTTTTCCCCGGAATAATGCTAATTAAATAAATAATTCCCGAAATACTGCCGAGTTAATAATATTTTCCAAAATACTGCTGGGATTAACCTCGGTTAAGGAAAGCCGCCACTCGAAGTGGCGGCTCTTGTATTACTTCACTAAAGCCGCCACTTCGAGTGGCGACTCTTCTTCTGTATCACAAAAGCCGCCACTTCGAGTGGTGGCTCATTAATTCGCAGAAATCCCCTTCTTCCTCAGGCGAAGAACACAGACGAAAAAAACAGTCCTTCCCTCTGCAGTCTGCGCGAACGACGAACCAAGAACAAGGTGCGAGCGATTCCAATTCCGACCGGAACGCCTCCAAACGAAGCTCAAATCAAACGCAAAAGAGACACAGTGTACCTGAGATCATTTGTGCTCCATTCTACCGCCTTTTAAACGTCTGAATCAAGGTATTTCACCACTTTTGCTAAACCTGGGTTTTTTTAATTTAATGTTCGAAATTTGTGTTTTTTTTTAATTCTTTGTATTTGATGTTATGAAATATATAAGTTCTTGATGTTGTTATTATGATTGAATTTATATAATTTGTAGAATTTGAATTATTTTTTGTGTTGGTTGGATTGATTTTGAATCAAATGGAAAAGAGACACGGTGTACCTGAGGTCGTTTGTGCTCCATTCTACCGACTTTCAACCGTTTGAATCGAGGTAATTCATCTATTTTGCTAAACCTAGGGTTTTTTAAATTTTTGTTCAAAAATCACTCTGTTTTTGTATTAATTTTTTTGTATTTGATGTTATGAAATATATAAGTTGGTAATTAAGTTATTATGCTTGATTTTATATAATTTGTAGAATTTGAATTTTTTATTGTGTTGGTTGGATTGAGTTTGATATACGGGTAGTTTGGAAAAGAGTAATGTAGCACATCATTAATATGTATCTATCAGATTTTGTAATTGAATGAAATCATAAAAATGATACATATGATTTAATACAGTTTGTTTGAATTAGTAGTTGAATTTTCAATGTGCGACATATATCATTTTTTGGAATGATTTTTGATAGAATATGTCTCCAAACTTCCCCATTGTGTGTCATTGGGGAGGAAATATAATCGAGGAGTCGAACGAAATTCGTTATGAAGGGAGGAGTAGGAAGATAATTGTTGTTTCCTATGGGGTGGATGTGGCTGAGCTAATGAATAAAATCTATACCGCCACATCCATCAATCGTATGAACAAGTTAGATTTGAAAGTTAAATATCTCGTTCATGATGGGTCATACATGTTGATGCCTCTTGCTGACGACGAAGCCGTTACGGGGATGTGGACCTTGATCATGAATCTTGCTATGCATACCATGGAGATATATGTTGAAGAAGCGACTGTGTTGACCATACAACCTGACAACCTGTCATTATCTTGCCCATCGACAAGTGTTCCAGTTGTGATGACTATGGTTGCACATGAGAATGGAAGATACGTGAACAGTGATTCAATGTTTCTGGATTCACATCACATCGACGACGATGCAGATGAAAATGTGAATCATGACACACTAACAGATTCAGATGAAGATGGTGGTGATCTCGTAAGTGGCAATGCTCCATCCAGCCACTACACTAAAGTTTATGAGCTCCCTGCGAGATTTGATGAATCATGGAGGGTTGTACAACTTCCAATCACTTCTCTGCAGATGGTGAATTCGAGGTTGGGCAAGAGTTTGATGATAAGAAACAACTGATTAACATGGTTAGAATGTACTCTGTAAAGAGGAATCGGTTTTTCTCAATTGTAGAGTCTGACAAACACAAATGGGTGGCAAAGTGTAAGCGCAAAAAAGAATGTGGTTGTACTTGGCGGATCCAGGCTACAAAGAAACATGTGGGGTTAGATATGTTCAAAATTGTTCGTTATGCAGGTCCTCATATACCTACTTGTCTAGGTAACGTTGATAACAATGATCATGTTGGTGTCACATCTCAGTTCATAGCACGTGAAAGTCAACTTAGACACGAAAATTGTCTGGTAGTAATTTATTAATGAAAATTTAGTGAAGGAATACAGAAAGTCACGAAAGGAAAGGTTTGAGACTCTTTGAGTGGTCTCTCGCTCCCAATATCCCAGTCCTGATCCCAAGTTCTGCCTCCCCATCTACTCACCTCTCACCCTTATTTATTCTATTTCTAATGGGCCAGCCCACTTCTATTTAGTTGTAAGGCTTGAAACCCTATTATTGACCAATATTAAAATAACTTGAAAAGACTCTAATTATTTGTAATGTCCAGGTCCCTAACATCACTCCCCCTTGAACTTCCACCTTGTCCTCAAGGTGGATGATAAGAGACTGATTTTGTGTTAGGTTCCAGCAAGTTTTCAGCTTCATCCCATTCATATAACTGATCTTCTGTGCCCTTCTCTCCTTCGGGCTCTTCCATCAAGATAAATTGATAATGTTTCATTCCACAAACATGCTCTTTGCCCCATTTGTTTCCACATTCGAAGCATAGGCCCTTCTTGCTTCTTTCTTCTAAGTCCGCTTGTGTCAACCTTTGGCCACCTTCCCATGTCTTATTCGGTTTTGGTGATTCCTCCAATTTGTTCTCTGAAAGTGTTTTCTCCGGAGTTAAAACATCCCTTTGTTGCTTCCACCCAGTTCCAAGGTCTAACCCTTTTTCCTACCCGTTCCTTCCAGACTGTGTTGTCTTCTTCTTTATTTTTTTTCTGTCCACACCTTGTTCTTCAGCTCCAACAACAATGCCTTGTCCATCAATTCAGTTAACCCACTGGTCTGGTGCAACTTCAGTTCCGTGCTAATTTCTTTTTTAAGGCCATTGAGAAACACTCCTTTTAACATCCCTTGGTCAGCAAGTTTGAGAGGAGCTACAACCATTTCAAAGTGATCCCGGTATTCCATTACTGAATAAGTTTGCCTAATACTGAGCATAGGACCAAATGGATTTTGTACTAAGGCAGGTTGGAAACGCCGGATCAAATCATCTTTGAAGTTAACCCAAGAATGGTCATCAGTGTGTTCATCCCACCATTGGTACCAGTTCAAAGCTTTTCTAGTCATGGCTATCAAGATTACTTCTACTTTATCCTCTTCTGCCACATGGTTGAGTTTGAAATAGCGTTCAACCCTAATCTGCCACCCATAAGCATCGTCTCCACTAAAAAGTGGTAAATCGACCTTTCTTCCAGTATATACACGGTCTCAGATTCTCATCTGATAAGGGCTGCGTGAAACTGAGTGAGTTTCTTGAGATTTACCTTCGGGATTAGAGGAGCTCACGCTTGCTGAAGTATGGCGACGACGGTTTGTGATTATCGTCCTCTTCTCTTCCTGCGACTACCTTGGGTCTCGAGACTTTGCATCTTCTCTAACAGCGTCTGCATCCGCTCGTCCATCATTGCTTTCATCTGAGCGCGCATATCAGCCATAGATCGCTCCAGTGATATCTCCAAATTATTTATCCGCTGCTCCATGTTCGATCGAGTGAGGACCATACAAAGGTGCAGCGATCGTTGGCTTTGATACCAATGATACGTAACGGAAGAATCCAGGAAGAAAGTGGTAATTTATTAATGAAAATTTAGTGAAGGAATACAGAAAGTCACGAAAGGAAAGGTTTGAGACTCTTCGAGTGGTCTCTCACTCCCAATATCCCAGTCCTGATTCCAAGTTCTGCCTCCCCATCTACTCACCTCTCACCCTTATTTATTCTATTTCTAATGGGCCAGCCCACTTCTATTTAATTGTAAGGCCTGAAACCCTATTATTGACCAATATTAAAATAACTTGAAAAGACTCTAATTATTTGTACTGTCCAGGTCCCTAACATGAGTTGTTACTGAACCTCCGGGTTCGTGTGGCTGGAGACCTGAGCTAGAAGATCTATCAGCCTAACAGTGGTATCAGAGTCTGGTTCTCGCCGTCTCTTGCCGGAAAGGACCACCGGAAACCCAGTAGCTACTCACCTCTGACGACGCCGACTTCCTCTTCTTCGTGCATGGTAAGTCGGATAATCCCCCTGGATATCCGCTCAGGTTAATTGGCTTGAAACATGCTAGGTGCACCGGATGCCTCCGGATTTTGTTTACTTTACTTACCATTTCCCCGCGTGGCCGTCGGTTGATTTTATCCCGACCGCCATCACCCCAAGTATGACGGCTGAATCTCTCCTTTGCATGTGTTGATCTGCCTGTGGCATTTTCAGATCCGTGATTGGTTTGTATTCTTGACTGTCTCTCTGTGTGTTTGGGGTAGTGGGTTGGGGCTGGTTCTGTTGCACTTTTATGTGTTCAGTGAATTTGTTCTTTCTGAGTGTTGTTTCTCGTTCCTCAGTTGTCTGTCTGCCCACGGATAACTTGAGTGATTCTCTCTGATTAGTGAAGGCATGTGGTGTTGGGGCTAGGGGATACCCTACCAGCCACCAGAGTGGCCTCGGAACTGCGTGGTCCTCT